TCAATCGGTCAATCGACTGGATGGTATCAATGGGATTACCCGGCCTGGTAATTTGTTACATAACTGATGGGAAAATCACCATGCTATTCATGGGTAAATCAACTATAAATAGTCATGTTCAATAGTGTTTTTGTATGTTTACCAGAGGGATTTGTACTTTTTTCCTTTGGTCTTTTGGTATCAATGGGATTATCAATGGGATTATCTACTTTCACAAGCTAAGAATTGCTTTTTTTTGCAGGGTATCTAAGATTGGCCGTGGCTTGACTACCGGAGGGCAAAGGGAGTTCAATGACCCCTTTGAAAAATGGCGACGTTTCTCTTCAGGCGATGATGATGCCAAGGATTACTCTGGTGGTTTCAAAGATGTTTGATGTTCAACCGTAAAAATGGGATGATGATCACTACTCACTATTTTTTGGACATTGAATGGGTGTGTCTAGTGGTTCAGAAACTCATTTTCCCTATTCAATTTGCCCATTCTTAGGCGTATACACCATTGAAAATGGCCATTTATAGTGGATTTTCCCATTAAAAATGGTGGATCTTTCCATAGCTATTTTGACATAACCAGAGGGTACACACCAACATCCGGTAGGGATTTATGTCTCCACCAGAACTGTTGGATCCCACAGGACCGTACCGAGCACTGGCCAGAAAGGGCCTCGTACGATGTGATCCTTGGAGCCGATGTGGTGTATCTCGAGGACAGGAAGCTGCTGCGAAAGCTACCTGGGTTGATGATAGGAGGTTATATAGCCTAAACTAACAGTTTGCGAACTGGACAGCCCACAGATTTATAGTTGGTTTAGCTATTCAAAATGGTGATGTTCGATGGTTATTTGTATGTTTACCAGGCAGGTTACATGGCTATGGGTCACCCTGGTACCCGGTACCCAGATGCCCAGGGCGTCATAGCTGGATGATGCTGGATGGTGACAGACAACCCTATGGGAACGTCATAGGTTTTCACATGTTTTCACCCATCCGGAATCACCATTTTTCCCATATGAAAAACATGTTTTCCCATATGAACAACCCCCCCAAAAAATATATACCACCCATAACCTGCCATGTATTTTACGATATGTTGCCATGGATGTTCAGCCGTAACTATGGGGAAATACGAATGATCAATGAGGATTTATTGGGCTGCGAATTATCATCATCTATATGCAGTTTTTCAAGCAGTCCATGTAAGAATTTAAATGTGAATGATAAATGATGATTGGTTGATGATTAGTTTGAGGATTATATCCAAAATATATGGGATAATCACAATCCATTATGGGAAACCCTATCAACTAACCATTATAAAGGGACAACCGAGGTTTTTGAACACTGATCATATGGTAAAGATGGGAATACATGTTCATAACCCCCCGATTTCTGATATTGGGTGGTTCTTATTCAAAAGGATTTGGTCTGGGTCCGAAGGAAGCCATGCGCGTTTTTTCGTTCTCTCCCAATGTTTGAATGTTCAAAGCCATTACCCGCTGGTAATTTAACATAACTATGTAAAATCACGATGCTATCAATGGGTAAATCCACTATTTCGACTGGGCCATTTTCAAGTTCGCAAACTGTAACAGTCATTACCAGGCCGGGTAGAAACAGGGGTCGCTCGAAACCACTGGTTAGTTTACCCCACAGAAAATGACGAATTTTTTCACCGTAATTTCATCCAATTTCACATCCATGTCCTTGAAGGATTTGCACTTGCCCCTTCTGGACATGATGGCACGAGTACTTGCCCCCGGGGGTGTGATCCTCAGTTGAACTGCTCGTTCCCGGGGACCGGGGGACCGGAGATTGGTCGAAGTTTCTACCGTCATCTGCCCATATGGGCCTCCCAGGCGGTACTGAACAGCAGAGGGAACGGAGATTGATGTATTTTCGCGGGGATTAACATATGTAATAAATATATATATATATACATATATACAATATATATATATATATTATGTTTCTTTATTATATATTATGTATATTATATATTATATTATATTATATTATATATAATATTATATATATATATATTATGCAAGCTATTTTGGTATGAAGACCGGAGGTGTTTTAATCCATATCCAAAGATGCAAATGATGTTCAACCCCAATTACTTGGGGACCATGATCCAAATGACTAACCACCAAAACTCAGGTTCTTAGTTACCCCAGAGTTTTCCTGATGAATATCGCAATGCCATGTTCCGTCCCCTCTATATATAGCCAATATCTATATATATATACAGATATATATGACTGGGTCAAGATCCCTCAGTCACACTGGTAGCCTCCTGAAAGTGATGACCTCGTCCACGAGGTAGCAAAGATGTTTTCCCAAATGAACTTCTGTCCACAGATACCAGGTAGTTAAAGGATTGTTGGCCACAACAATGATGGATAAACAGTCTTCCCCAAAGAACTGATAGTTCTCCAATCACCAGACCACAAAAAAGCGACACACGCTATTCTTTCTCCCCGTCGCGTCCTGAAAGTAGTGGCCCTTGAGCCACCATATATCGAGCAGGTCATGAACCCTTCGTTCATATCTGCATAAACCCTCAAGACAATCGAATGGACAAAGGCTGGCATGAACTGGAATTCACACTCGTCTCTATTTTAAATTCGATTGTTAACCCAGGTGATACCGTACTTCCTGTTGGCATTTTGTTTAAGGGTTAAGTCTTCATCATAGATTCTAAATTTTCCCAGTTGCAAGACCGTTCTCAAGAACGTATTGTCCATGACCTTGGTTAATCCGTCTGCAAGCATGATGGCGGTTGAGACCCAACGGCATGTAGTATGGTCTTTGGATTGCTCCTTAAGTAGCATGACTTCGATTGTAGTCCTCCATTCTTGGCAGTTGGGCACTGCATTTTTCGTTATCAGGTCAAAGAGGGATTTACAATCAGTAATCATTAAACCAGATGGTTCTTGTTTTAGGGAGGTCTCCGGCTTGGACCATAAGAAGTTTGGATCTTTTATGAAACCCCACATGCAACGGATCCATGTGAGTTTGTCCAACGAACTCGACATAGCATAGGCTTCAGCGCTTAAGGTCGACCTTACAACACGGCCTATCTGTTTGGAGTGCCAAACGATGGGGGAAAATTCAGTGGTCTCATTATTTCCAAGTCTTTCAGTGCATGCCATGATGAACAAACCCTGTTGTGCGGACAACTGCTTGGCGGAAGCAAAACTCGCATCGCCAAAACTTGCAAAGCAGATACTGTGCATGGGAATCGACCGAACTATCACTGCTGTCTCTGCATGTTGTTGTGCTTCTCTCAGTGTTCTATTTCCTTCAAGTAATGACTCAACCGTAGCACTGGTGATGCCCTTCTGGAGGTGAGCTACTCGTGTAGCCAAGTCAGGCCTTGAATGTACTGCCGCGTACTGAAGGCTTCCGCAAAGCCCTCGCAACTGATGCAACTCATGGCTTGTGACTGGACTAGTTGTTTCTACCCTCCTGGATTTTGGAACATCAATGGGTGCTATTTGGTGAATATATTTTCCTTGATTTACTTTGATGGAAAAGTCCGGTAGTTGTTCAATTTCAAGACCAGTAAATTTGAACTTTCCATATTCCCTGGAACCGAATGGCAAGTTAACTTGTAGTTTTTCAAGTGCAGCTTCAAAATTTTTGTTACCACCACCGATCCCGTCATCCACATGGGTCCCCAGTATTCCGTCCAGGATCTTTGGGTTTTGCGGATTGCGGAGCAGGAATAAGCAATTATCTAAAGGATGCACACTGAAACCTACGTCTTCAAGTCTCTTGCGGAACTCTTTATAGAATAAGAGTGGGGCATCAACCCTTCCATAGGCATTTCCTTTGAGAAGACAAACCTGTTGTGGGGTCATACCTAAAAGTTCTCTTAGTTCTATAGGAGCTTCCATGGCTAGTTCACGCTCATCCGAACGTCCACGCAAGAAAGCAGTGGTAATGTCAAAACTTTGCACAATCCACTGTTGGCTGGCTACTGTTTGTAGCAGGAGCATCCGCGAATCTCTCGTGAGAGTTGGGCTATCAGAACAAACCGAGTCAATGTCTGGGTCTTGGAAACCTTTTACAACCAGTCGGGCTTTGGCTTTCTTTCCCGTGTCTGATGTAGGATCCTCTTTCCAAGTAAGTATCCATCGGGATGACATGATTCGGCTCGGATGTATCCTGTCACGCATGATAGCCTGCACGGTCTTGGTGTCAAGCCAGCATTGTAGTTCCTTCTGTTTGGCAGCTTGGAATAGCTCTCTTTCTTTTGACGTCAATTCTCCATATTTTACCTCATTTCGTGATCTCTTTGCAGCAGCTGTCAGACAAGGAAGATACTCTTTGGGCATCTTCAGGAACCGGGAGAGCTGTTGCTTTGGCATTTCAAAGTCAAACGAAACGCATGCATGTTCCAGAGTGTCTTTGGATTCCCAGGCTATTGACTGGTCTTCTACAACTATATCAGAACCTGCAACATTTTCACATATGGAAACATTATAGACGGGCTGCATGCCGGTTGGCAGGGGTTCAGAGTCTGATTCCATTGTGACAGTTGAGTTAAGATCTCGATCCGCATCGTCACTCTGTTCCGCGTCGTTCTCAGCTTCAACCGGTGTTGGGGAGACTGGTGATTCTGGTACGGGAGTCTCTATGGCGTCAGACAGTCTCTGAGCATCAAGTTGGGTGTCAAGGGAGATTCTTCTGTTGGGTTCTTCTTCTGGTTGAACTGAAGCATTACTTGAAAGATTGGGGTCGTTGTTTTCTTCGGGATTATCTTCCGGATTAGTTCTGGGATCAGGACTATCATAACTTATTTCAGACTTCAGCCTCATTGTGTGTGGCCATACAAACCCCCGCCACGTTATGTAAAGAATCATGTTGAGAACTATGTTGGGAAGTATGTTGAGAAATACCCTACTCACAGAAACAAGGCCCCTGCAAGCACAAAGCAATCTGTTTTCACGGAAGGGCCGTCGCAATGGCCAGGTCTGCCAGGTCTGAATCGCTCATTTGGTTTTCTTTTCCTTCTTCACTTTGACCTTCTTGTCTTTCTTCTTCTCAGCGTCCTTCTCCTTCTCCTTTTTCTTCTGAATGTCCTTCTTCTTCGCAGTGTCCTTTTTGCTCAATTCTGACCCTTTCTTTTTGGTTTTCTCAGCCGCCTCCTTTTCAGCAGCGGTGCCAGCCATCACCTTCAGCTTGCCACCCAACTGCTCCATGCCAAAGTTGTATGTCTTCTTGACATATTGAACCAGCTCCAGCATCCCATGCTCCTCGTTTCCATCCTCCTCAAGAAAGAAGGCGGCATACATCACAATCGCTGCAGTTTCCTTGGTCTCCAAGAAGGTGGCAGCACACTTTTCCTTGGTTTCCTTTGCAAATTCCACCAGGCCTTTGACAGGATCATGGCCTGAGCAATGTGAGGCAAGGGAGTTCAAAACCTTCAGCTGTGACTCCATCACCTCCATGTTTTCATTCATCTTCGTGTAGTCTGTCTTTGCTTCGTCGCCGGCAAACATGGGACGATATCTGCCAACTTTATCCTCATCCCAATCAAGCGACAACTTGACAAGCGGCTTGAATTTCTGCACAAAAGTCTCAAGCTCACGGAGGGTGGAGGCCTGCACGGACTTCAAGCTGGAGAGGCCTGCAACCTCAAACTCACGGAGGTAGGTCTCGCACACACCTTTGACTGACTTCAGAAGCTCGTCCTGCATCAGCTTTGAGTGCAAGGCTGAGGCCACACCTTCACAGCGAGGAATCTGGGCAGCCAAGGCTTTCAGGTCAGCCTTCTTCAAATCTTTGGACTCTGCGGCCAGCTTCTCCTTCTCAAGCAAGAAAGTGGCCACTCCCAAATGTTCAGGCACCAACAAGGCCTGTGGCTCCCAATCCTTCTCGGGCTGCAACATCATGAGGCTCAGGCTTTTTGCGCTGCTGATGCTGGCACAGGTCAAGGCATACTCCACGATCGAAGCCACGACCTCTTTCACCATGCCATCCTTCACATCCTTCTCCACCAATGCCAACTCCTGCTTTGCTGAAGACAGCAAGGCCTTGGCGAACTTCACATGGACCTTGATCAGAGAGATCTCATCGGTTTCATCATCGGGCTGCTCAAAGTCTGAGACAAGCTGCCGCCAAACTAGCATCAGCCGACACAGGCAATCAGGCTGCAACGTTGGCAAGCTGAGGTTCTGCAGGATGGTACCTTGGCCGATTCGAATCCAAGATTTACAACAACAAGCTACCATTCAACAAAACAGGACTTAAGACTTGCGTCAATTATAGATATTATAGATCTCAGATTGATGGCGTTTGTTACGTCGTCTCTTGTGGTGCATTTTTTTCAGCTCCAGTCTTTCAAATCAAAGTTTATTATAACAGTTTATTTCAAATTCAATGTCCTGTGAAGAGGTGAAAGCATTGGTGGCAAAGTGAGTGCATCAAAGTCACACCTGGTGAAAAATCCATGGTCCAACTTTGTCGGAAGCTGTGGCACACTGAGCGACCTTGGCTAAACGAGAAACAACGATCTGTGCAAAGCCACATCTCTACTGATGTCCAAGCACAACAAAACCATGTAAATGAATCCGAGTAACATCTTGGACAAATCTCCAATGCCCCCTTTCGTTTCCGACTGCTTCAGGAAGTCCAGGATGTTTGCAAGGTCCTTTTCATAGTCGCACAGGTGAGTGACCCAGTTCTCAAACTTCGGAAGGGTCTCCGCCATCAGATTGATCGTGGCCAAGCCTTCAGCATCTGCAACGTCGCCACTCTGAAGCTTGGTAAGGAGCCGACATGGATCAGGCAGCATCTTAAAGAGGGATTCAAAGTCAAAGTGAATCGACTCTGACAGGGCAAGCTCGGTGACCTCTTGGATCTTTGACGTAAAGTCCGAAGCCGTTTTCAAATTCTCTGGTGTCACCGCAGCATCCACTCGGTAAGCCAATGCGCTCTGCCACAGCGACCTGCCAAAGGGCAAAAATACAAAGGTGACCAATGCCAGTAAAATATATGAAACCTGTTTGGCAACATTTCGGGCTTATATCGAATGCGCCGGTGCTACGTAGTTGCGTACTGTATGCTTACATCATGTACTCCTATACACTTAAAGTCAATGTGTCATAGGGTAAACACAGCAGATTGTAGTTAATGACTCTGGCATTCGATGGCCGAGGCAACGCCAACCACAAGCGATCCCTGCAAATGGAGACGCATGACTTTGCTACATTTCTCGACAAACAAAGTAAATCAAGCATCCGGGTGGATTGCAAAAAAAAATGCACAGAATGGAGGCATGGCAAATGAAACTATCTGATTCCAAGATCACCTGAATTCACAAGCCTCAGTTCGTACCAAAACAAGAATTATGGGATTTCAAATCCTTAAACACGTGCACGGCACATGCAACAACCTGTCCTGCGATCCTTTCGCACAAAACAGGTGTGCTATCAGGACCTCCATGCTAATTGAGCTCATGAAAAAATTGGAAGTCTCCGATTTCACATCTTCTGCAAAAAAGGTGGAGGGAGAGACGAAACCCACAGTGACCCTGCTGGCCACATGAAAGGACTGATGTGTCATCATCTTGTCTCTTCCCAAGTCAATAAATTTGTGCAGAAACCTTTTTCCCATCTGCGGTGGCTGCCCCAATCACCCCACAGCCAGAAGCCCTGACTGTTGTGAAACATGTCCTTGGACTGCAAATTTTTCACAATGTGCCCGGTTGTCGGGAGATACCTTGACAAGATGTCCAAGGGACTTTCGAAGATGTGGCTGCACTTTGCACAGTGACTCACGGAACCTTCGCATTAAAGGGCCAGGCAAATTGCTGGCTGTCTCCTCTGTGAAATCTTGAACCTGCCGTAGGACTTGCACGTCGCTTTGGCCATTAAAAAATCGCTGCCCCGTTGCGGATTCTATAATACACATCCCTGCGGCCCAGGAGTCAGAATGTGGCCCCAGTGAAATTGTGAGGTCATTCTGCAGGAAAAGCTCAGGCGGCCGGTAGGGCACCGAATATAATTTGTCCTTTGCTGGTGGAAAATGCTTTGCATATCGACTGTCACAGGATCCATTTGAGAAAAACGTGAAAATGATATTCTACCGGCCTTGGGCCAAATCGAAAACAAGAGGTGATGGGCTGACTTGCCAGAGAAAACAAACAGGAAGATCACAAAGGTAACTAAGATAGGCAAGCTTCTCGCTTTCTCTCCAACGGCACCGGCAGCACCATGGCTAAGCCGTAATCGGCAAGGTAATAGTGCTGCTTGTGTGGCTCAAGTAAGATATTGCCAGGTTTTAAATCTCCATGAACCACCTGTCGACCGTGAATATACGCGAGGACATTCATCAGTTGTTGCCAAAAGGCCCGTTGGCCATCAGAATCCAAAGCACCGTTGCACCGCAAATAGCGGGACAGGCACGTCTGCACCAGGGGCATGATAAAATAGGACAGCCCGAAGGGAACGATGTGACTCTGAAGCACTGGAAGAATGTGAGGATGGTGGAACTGGTGTAGCAAGGAAATTTCACTTCCAAGGCTCACTGTCTTTGTTTCAACTTTGGCAGCATAGCGCGCGAAAGTCACCGTATCCTCAACCAAGTAGACAGTACCGTAAGTTCCACTGCCTTTAACAAAGGTGTCCTTTACCATGAAATTCTCCCCAAGAAATGCACGGCTTTCCGGCATCTGCGACTTGAGCTCACCTTCCTGAATTTCGATGACCACAAATGAACGTGAAAACTTGGGGAACATGGTAACTTTGGGATAATGGGTGTAAACTGGAAACTTTTAGGGGTCGGTCTACTCGCATTTGTCTAGTCCAATTTGTCTCCCTTTTAGTAACTGTTACAATAATTCCGAAAATACACGGCGGCCACAGCTTGAGTATTCATTGAGCGCTGACGCTGACGACGCATTGCAATTTAGGGGAGTTCTGTTTCCGCTCAGAGAGAGCTTCGTGGTTTACCGGCATGGAGTGATCAAACACAGTAAAAGATTTGAAGACGATTGTATTTACATACTTTAAGTTCATGCCACCGCCCGGGGAATTGGGTGTACTATATGTGTGTACTGAAGTACTGAAGCAAAAAGTTTTAAGTATATATAGTCGAACCATCTACCCGTATACCAACAGGTTTTATGCACTGGAGGAACAAAAATACGTTGGTTACAAAAGCAGGGATCCTGCACTCGATGGCAGCTCAATAAATCTTCCTGCAACAATTCAACATATGACCGCTGTATGACTGTATGATGGCTGGATTGACTCAAAGAAATGATGCTTCCCTTCAAACATTTGTAAGTGAAGGGCATTTTCTTGTGCCTCAAAATTTCTATGCTACCTTGCCAGGGCTTGCGGAAAACAAATGGAAACATGCTAGGATCTTTTGCCACCAGACAGAAATTGAGATATGCGACCTAGCATCAGCTGTCGTGCGACCTGCGCTATCTGAAGCCTGCTGCTGTTTGATCTTCTCATTCCAGCTTTTGGCCCGCTCCGAAAAGCTCTCTCTCTCAGCCTCTGACAGCTTCGACCATGCCTTACGGCCCTTTTTCACACTTTGGTTCTGATCATTCAAGAAAATGGCAAAAGAATTTCTTGCCTTCACAGGGAAAGCTTCAGCGAGGTCTGTGCCCTTGACCTGTCGGAACCGAATGCCCACGCCAGCCTCCATACTTTTCTGACGCTGCGCTGCAAACTCGTTCCGCGACATTGTTTCATACTGCATCTTTTCCTCTTTGAAAGTGCCTTCCACGCTGGGCCAGCAACACTAGCATTCTGGCGAGTTTCCCGGCAGAACACTGCAAAAGGCCGGGCAGCCTTTGGAACAAGTCCTGTGCGGGTGGCTTGCTTCAAAGCTGTTACCTTTCTCACGTTTTTTCCTTGTGGACTTGATTTCTGAGAAGGCCGTTTCGGCGGCACAGCCTGGGAAGGCCTTCGGCCTGCTGAAGATGAACTCTGTATGCTCGGGGCCAGCCTGTGGGATGCGTAGCCTTCTGGTGGACGCTGCTTGCAAGTCAAACGCCGCCGGGCCATCTCACACGGCATGGAGTCTGGGATCAAAAATCAAATTAGGTGCAGGTTGTTCAGTGCTTTCAGTGCAAAGTACAAACTGTGGTCAACAGAAAAAGCATGGCCAGGAACTATTGGCAAACCTTGCGATGGCTCCAAGGTTCAACTACATCTCTCAACTAAAGGTTTTTTGGAAGCATTCTCCAAAGTCACTCTCAGAGCTTCCCTTGTACTTTTGTGCTGCCAAATCCAAACCCTCATCAGCCCAAAACTGCAGTTGACAGGGTTCTGATGTGTAGGAAAGCCAACCTAGATCCACCGCACTCACGAAATCGGCAATTGAGTAGACTACAGACTTCCGCCATTTTGTTGTCAAGACTCATTTTCTTGCTCGTACGAGTTCTAATTATATCAACCGGTAAAGACAAGTGTATACACCATGTAAAACAAAAAAATGCTTCCACCAGGTTTAAACCTCAGATGGCATCATATCAGATTAAGTTGCGACTTGCAAAGACAAACTGAGGCTCAGAGACATGCCAGCAATCCACCATGCGGATCCGAAAACCTTTGCAAAATATCTCGTGTAGAGCACGTATATGAGATGTTGTTATGGCACGAAAATGTCAACTGGCTGCACATATGTTGTACTTATGCATTCTTCGGACCATGAAGTGAGCTTTGACCAGTCCAGATTTGACACGAACTGATATGTCATAGTACTGAAATATGCACCACGCCAAAACCGTATGTGAAAAACCATTACGGTATCGTAGGTGAAAAACCCATTGACAAGCATGACGCCGCCATCGCAGCTGAGTCTGCAACAACTTGTTTTTGCCTTTGTTCAGTTATTGCAAAAAAGCAAATTAGCTGTGCAGCATCGCGGTTAATGTATCAATGACCATCATCATATCAAATCACGCATTGTGTACCCTGCCGGTATCAAATCGATAAAAAATACTTTACTTCGTGTGATCCCCACCATGACATTTATACATGTTGTTACTGGCAAATCTTCTGGCATTCTATCTGACATATTTTCTGGCATTCGATCTGGCATTCTATCTGGCATATCTTCTGGCATTCTACCTGGCATATCTTCTGGCAGATTTTCTGGCATATCTTCTGGCAGATGTTCTGGCATATCTTCTGGCATATCTTCTGGCATATGTTCTGGCATATCTTCTGGCATTCCATCTGGCATTCTATCTGGCATATCTTCTGGCATTTTATCTGGCAAATCTTCTGGCATTCCATCTGGCATTCTATCTAGCATATCTTCTGGCATATTATCTGGCAAATCTGCTGGCATTCTATCTGGCAAACATTCTGGCACTTTATCTGGCATATTTTCTGGCATTCTAGCTGACATTCTATCTGGCATTCTATCTGGCATACCTTTTGGCATTCTATCTGGCATATCTTCTAACATTCTATCTGGCATATCTTCTGGCACTCTATGTGGCATATCTTTTGGCGTGGATACTCGCGGTTGAGGTCCGGCAGGGAACACTTGGCGTGGATGGTCGCGGTTGAGGTCCGGCGGGGAACACTGGGCGGGGATACTCGCGGTTGAGGTCCGGCAGGGAACACTGGGCGTGGATGGTCGTGGTTGAGGTCCGGCAGGGAACACTGGGCGGGGATGGTCGTGGTTGAGGTCCGGCAGGGAACACTGGGCGTGGATGGTCGTGGTTGAGGTCCGGCAGGGAACACTGGGCGTGGATGGTCGTGGTTGAGGTCCGGCAGGGAACACTAGGCATGGATGGTCGTGGTTGAGGTCCGGCAGGGAACACTAGGCATGGATGGTCGTGGTTGAGGTCCGACAGCGAACACTGTGGATCGCGAGTCGCAGTTGAGCAGGAGGACGAGGAGGACAACGAGAGGAGGAGGAGAGGAGGAGGAGAGGAGGAGGAGGCGGCAGGAGGAGGAGGAGGAGGACCAGGCAACTTAGATAAAATCTAACAACCCTCACCTGGCAGGTGGGGAACAATCGAGCAAGCAATCTGCACGGGCTCACCTCCAATCCGCATGAGCACCCATCACCAATGTAATCTTGGAACTGAACGCCTTGCAACCAGTCACGGCCACGAGGTACTTTGCATCGATTTTGAAATCTTTCTCCTTCAACTTGCGGTGCATGTCCAAGCAAACGAAGATCCGCTGCACATCCGCCATGAGGCTCCAATTCAAACCACTTTCATTCTGGTACTTCTTGAAGTCACCTTCTTGATCTGGCGTAGGCAGCCTGGATTGTGTGATATGAGCTGTGGGACAAGGAAGTCCGAAAGACACAAAGCACGCTGGCAGTGGCCCCGTCTTTACAAACCCATACAGTTTGCTCCCTTGATGCCCTTTGAAAAAATGAAGACTCCATGACCCCAATGTGCAAATAAGTCACCATTTGGTTTCGTCACGGAAATCCCCAGTGCGCAAATCATCGGGCAAACATTTCTGCACAGCGTCAACATCAATGCCAGTCCGGAAACGATCGAACCACTCAAAAACGGCCTGCTGCTGGATCCTCAGCAACGCCTTCCAATACTTCGCGTCATCCTGGTGCTCTAAGATACTAAACCACAGCAAACTGAAGGTGGCCTTTGTTTTCTCCGCTTCCTTGCAGATCCGGATGAAATTGAAGAACACGGGGTCCTCACATGCAAATGATGCAAAAAAGTTTGAGCTGATATGTGAATCGACACATGTGACAGCCAAAAAAAAACTGGAAGCCCCAAAAGTGCAGCAGCAAGTGTCTGGGGCTACAAAACTGAATGCCTTTCAACGCCTTTGCCTTCAGAGAAGATATTCATGGTAGAAATTCCCTTATTCTACGACCTATCTCCTGGCTGAAAAATAATTTGACAATGCCTACTGAGACAGATCTATCACGCATTCAAGGTACTTATCATCAAAAACATAATCTCAAGAAATGGTTGCATCAATGTTCTATTGATTCACAGCCATGCAGCTGTATGATTTGATCTGCATCGAAATGTGGCCATATCAGATGGATACGATTGCAAAAAAGTAGATATATTGACAAAATACCGACGGCTAAATCCAGCTCCTAATCCTAAAGCCCAGGCACGTCAAGCAGCTTTTTGGCCACAAAGCCCATGATGTCCTGGAAGGTGCCGGTGTCAGCTGCCAAGTGTTTGCCAAGCTCGCAATCATCAACAGACATCAGTGAGCAGAGCGAACCTGGAGAGTGCACCTCAGAAACCAAATCCGTCAACTGGATGCCCCGCAGAATCTTACAGAACTCCTTGAGCTTTGTCACAAGTCTGGACTGATTCTGGATATCTGTCACCATCTGTTTGCCCTTGGTCACCACGTCCTCCGGGCAGCCGTCATAGGACAGGGCACTGTCTAGCCCGTTCACCACTGTGGATTCTTTGGACAAGCGGCGATCGACTTCGTTGGAGCGCACACAGCTTTTCCAAAGCGTGTGCACCTGCAGTTCTTTCAAGCTTGCTAAGAACTTCTCGGCCGCCTCCATGGACTTTGCTACTTCGGCTTTCTCCTTGTCCTTCTTTCCCTTCTGCTTTGCCACCGGCTTTGGTGCTGCCTTTGCTTTGCTGGAAGACGCTGCACTCTTGCGCTTCGAATTCTTCTTGGCCGGCTCTTCGTCCTCCATGGCTGCAGCCCCAAAGCTGGACTTAGAGGATGCCTTGCTGCTCGAAGAGGAATCGCTGTCAGAGTCGTCATCACTCCGGTCGTCCTCCTCAGCATCCTTCTGAGCTCGCTCAATATCCTCCTGGTACGATTTTGCAACATGGACACGCTCTCAAAGTTTCAATAAATGGGGAAAAAGGTGAAATATTGCACCAAGTAGCAATTCAAAGCAAAGAGCCAATCTAAATTACACAAAATCAAAGTGCAGCCTGACAGAGGCATCTCGATCTGAGATTTATCTCAAAAATTGTCAAGAGGAACCCTGTGAAACCATATCTGAAAACTTCTTTGCAGGAGCAGGGAGCCATGTGTTTTCCCAAAGGAAACATGGTAACATGCTGCAAAAGAATGGAAGGCTGGAAATCTGGAAGCGAAAGATCACAAGCGGCCAAAGAAAGCACAGTGCCAACATGCGTGAACTGACAACCCCCCAATTCGGGAACCCGGGCCACACCATCATGCAGGCTAAGAGCTCTGTCCTGCGTGTTGATATTTGCAGATGCAGCAATGCTCTCCTGAGCTCGTGCGTACGCTTCCTTGGAACCACCTTTGTCATCTTCAAAAGTCTGGTTTTTGACCCTGGCCGCTGACATCCGGAGACCTGTTTTCATAATTGTCTTGCCTGCTACTGGCACGCACAGCTGGTTTTTCTTTGGGTCCCGCTGCAGCTTCAAACCCAAGGTCTTCGTCAAAAACTCCTTTCGTTCCCTCTCGTTCTTGAAGGTCTTGCGCGTTTTGACATGTTTCTGGATGTAGTCTGCCATTGAAAGGAGCTCTGCTTCCTGCCCAAGAGCCACTTAGGAGTTGGTATGGATCTGTTTCTAACATGGAAGTTGCAATCCCGCTGTGTCCGCGGAAAAAACCGCTGCGAAATGCTGCGAAGTTATTTGCGTACGATAGCCACAATCACAACAAACATCGACAAGGAAACCCTTGATATCGAAGTTTCACTGACATCCCGCAAAATCCACACATGATATCTACATAATATTGTGCCTATACATGGGATGAATTTCTGATAGACAGCCATGACTAAGACATCTCTCATTCAAACAAATCTATCCGGGCAAGAGACCCCAAACAGTGTGGGGGGTAGCAAATGAATGTACGAGATGCAAGCAACAGTAGAAACGGGAACAATAGCAAAATCAAGTTTGGCGTTTTGGAACCTGTAGCAGCAGGAAGTTCTTTTTTTGTCACACCGACAAGCATTAGTCTACTGACGAGGATTTCAATTCGGTCTCAACAAAGACTTGTACAAGATCATGCAAGGACCTCTTGAGAGGATGTCATCAGGATCTTTGCCAGGTCCTCTTACAACGATCCCTACAAGATCTTTCTTCTCACAAGAAGATCTTGTCAAAAGGACCTGTGCAAGATCGTGCCGTCGTGCAAGATCTCTTGCGAGGATTTCGGATTTCAGCAAGATCTCTAGGAGATCTTCTCACAAGGATCTGGACAAGATCACGCAAGGACCTCTGAAGAGGATTTCCTCATGATCTCTACAGGGTCTTCTTAAAATGATCTGCGCTGTACAAAAATCTTCTCACAAGAATCTCTACAAGATCTTGCCACAAGGCCCTGTACAAGATCATGCAAGGACCTGATTTCATCAGGATCTCCATAAGATCTTACAGACAACCTTGAACTCCTCGCGCTAAAACTCACCCGCAACGTATACATACTCACGTCGTAGGCACGAATACATATGACCTTATATGCGCATACAAACTTATAGTGAACAAACTCAAACTAGAAAATTTTAACTCAAAAATGCAAAACGGAAAGACGGCTTTCAGCATGAGATGAAGAATGCACCAGATGGGCAAACTTGACCTTTTCACCATTGGCAGCCACGGGGAAGGATCAACCCTTTACCATTGCGCCTCATGTTGAGGCTAAGGATTTGTCTCAGCTGCTTTGCATGAGATAAAGTTGTTGTACCATCTTGGTGCTGCTTTTGTTTCTTTCTGAAAACTACCATCCGCCAAATTTGGGGTGGGAGACGACAAATTGTTGGGTGGGACTACAAATTTGGCGTACACTATAGGGCTTTCCCACCCACCCACCCACCCACCCACCGACCACTTGAGTTGGAAGATGTCACATATAAAGACTTGATTGAAGTTCAGCTCAAACAAACATTTAAAACAGATGGCTAAGAGCGCCTGTCCTGCTTGTGTGAGGCAAAGCCTCGGGTGTGATGTTGCTGACGCTCCAAACACGTAGTTTTGTTTTTGATGGGGATGCCATATACACACACATGACACCCATAACATTTTCGCGCAGCTAATTTACCAGTAAGCCACAAGGGGACAGCTTCAACAGAAGCACACCGATCAAACAAACAGCTTGTAGAGTTTGAAACGCGTGCCTTGCTTGTGTGGGGCATAGCCCCAGGCGTGATGTTGCTGACGAGGTTGCGATTTAGCTACATAACAACCTTAAATATAGGCGCAACAAGTTTTTCATTTGCCCCACGGCAAGCACCCACTTAGCAGGAAACATCAGCAACTTTTTGTCGCTTGAAAGTTGTGACCGCAGCAATGCCCCTATTAAAAGATCTTAGAAGCATCCGTAATTCATTTACCGCGCAAGTGTGTGACCAAAGGTCAGGACGAGAGGGTTAGATTAACCCAAATTTAAGAAAAAGTGCATAAACAACCATTGGTACGCCAGCGGTACTCTTCTCACAAGGACCTGTACAAGATCGTGCAAGGAGCGCTTGAGAGGGTTTCATCAGGATCTCTCAGGGATCTTCTTATAAGGATGCCTACAAGCTCTTCTCACAAGGACCTGTGCAAGAAAATGCAAGGACCTCTTACAGAGTATTGGATCAGAATCTCTAAAGATTTTTCTGATGAGCACCTGTACAAGAATCTCCTTGACACAATCAGCACCCAAGAGCTGGATGCAAGTTTGGCACGGGAATTCACAACGAAAACGCGCATGGACATGTCACAAGAGCCCTTTTTGCGCGAGAACTTACAGGAAAAATACGGCAGCCACAGATTGGGACAATGGAAACGCACAGGGACACGTCACAAGAGCCATTCTGCATCAGAACTTACAGGAAAATGCCGCCCCAGATCAACCCCCTGATCAAGCACTGGCCTTTACTCTTGCCGTAATAACCCCTCAGTGTGGACACACTGTTGAGGAAAAAGCTACAGATTTGAGTCACAGAAACTGAAACGTCAATGTTACAATGTTTGTATCGACATCACATGTAACTGGTCAGTGGAGTCAATAACCCAGGGGTAAGAAATAGAACGTCCTGCATCCTGTGCCACTTGCTTCAGTCACAGCACATTGCGGCAAAATGAAAAGGCCCTTTCACATACATGTCTTGCACTTCCCAAATTTTCTTCATCATGCTCCTGTTACTTTGTTCACGAAGGCAGCAAAGCTGTCTTGCAATATTGCATTCAAGGTCAGGTCCATCCTTTGTCCTAATTTGCAATCATTAAGCTGATAACTATACGGGCGTTCAAACAAAATCGCAAAAAAGCTTGGCTGAGAAGTTGCACTCATAGGAAAATGCAAGACCAATTTCACAAAGTGGAACCGTCCATAAGAATTTGCCAATGGGTGGCCTACAAACTGAAACTGCTTCACTACGAAGCCCTGCGAAGCCTGGCAGAAGTCAACATAGTCTTCCTCTGATTTCTTGATGATCTCTTTCAAGTTTAACTTGGGGTGCCTTGGTTTCTTGGTGGGCCGCAGAATCTTATCGTGGACAAACTCCTTCCTCCTTTCATTGAACCTTGGGCATCAGACTACGCAACGAAGTCTGAATCATGCAGCCATAAATGAGGACAGGACAATGCTGCTCTTTATTTCAAAATGCTGTAAAATGCAATCATACAGTATGATTCGTATGATACGCTTCCATGTTCATATATTCGCTCTGAAATGTTCAACACGTAACGCAAATACAGCAGAATTACTTTCGTCGAGCGATTTCCGCCAATTGACACTCTATCTGACAAACATTCTAACATTATATCTAGCAGCATTCTATCTGACATCTAGTCTGACATTCTATCTGACATACATTCAGACAGTCATCTGATGTTCTATCTGGCATGTGTCGGGTTCCGTACGTGCCCTGCAGACGATCTGAAGCTCGCAATAGGGCTGGGGCTCGGCTGAGCCACGATGGGGCTCCCGTGAAGCTCGCTGCGAGCTGTGAGCGCGAATTGCTCCACTTGAGCTCGTACTTGCTGTGTGATCCGGGTCCGTTGCTCTTCCCAGGAACAACAAGTTGGCAAAAGGAGGAGGAAGCGAGGGATAGAGACCCTCACAAGGCAGGAGGGGAAGAAGCAATCCATGTCAAATGTGGAGAAAATCAATAGGTAAAGTGCAAATATGCAGCATATTTTATAATGCACCATGTTCCGCATCATCAGCCACTGCATGATTGCGGTTCACCTTCAAAAAAATACATTCCTTCGAGGAGTGCAAATTGAACGTTTTTGCCAAAAAAGCAAAATTGCAGCAGCCACTTGTCAAAAGCGCCAACTCACGCTGACAACCTCTCACTGCAACCCTGCGCTATGAGTGCTCTAGCAGCACAAGGAAGGGGCGGTTGATATCTATCTTTGTATAGCTGCGCTAAACTACGCAAGGATCGCGGGGACTTATACCTACAGAGGGCGTTGGAGGAGCGCAAATTGAAGGTTTTTGCCAAACAAGCAAATTTGCAAAAGCCGCTTGTCAAAAGTGCCAACTCGCTCTCACAACCTCTCACTGCAACCATGCGCGGTGAGTGCTCTAACAGCACAAGGAAGGGGCAGTAAATAAAATAAATATGTAAAAATATTAAAAAAAATGTTTCCCCACCTGCCAGGTGAGGGTTGTTAGATTTTATCACAGTTGTTCTCGGCTAGCTTCTTCTCCTTCTCCTCCTCCTTCTCCTCCTCGTCCTCCTCCTCCTCCTCGTCCTCCTTGTCCTCGTCCTCCGCCTTCTCCTCCGCCAAGCTCTTCGCCGAGCTCTTCGCCAACGTCCGAGCTCAGTGAGCACCGCTGGACCCCAACCTGGGACCTGCCCAGCTCAGTGAGCACCGCTCGACCTCAACCTGGGACCTTCCCAGCTCAGTGAGCACCGCTGGACCTCAACCTGGGACCTGCGCAGCTCAGTGAGCACGCTGGACCTCAACCTGGGACCCTCCGAGCTCAGTGAGCACCGCTGGACCTCAACCTGGGACCTGCCCAGCTCAGTGAGCACCACTGGACCTCAACGACCAGATAGAATGCCAGAAGATATAGAATGCCAGAAGATATGCCAAGTAGAGTGCCAGAAGATATGCCAGATAGAATGCCAGATCGAATGCCAGAAGGTATGCCAGATAGAATGCCAGAACATATGCCAGAAGATATGCCAGATAGAATGCCAGAAGATATGTCAGAACATATGCCAGAAGATATGCCAGATAGAATGCCAGATAGAATGCCAGAAGATACGTCAGAAGATATGCCAGAACATATGCCAGAAGATATGCCAGATAGAATGCCAGAAGATATGTCAGATAGAATGCCAGAAGATTTGCCAGTAAGAAAACGTATAAATGTCATGGTGGGGATGACACGAAGTAAAGTCACTATATATATATATATTTAAATAAATATATATATATACCCTAACATTTGTATAGCTGCGCTAAACTACGCAAGGATCGCGGGGACTTATACCTACAGAGGGGCGTTGGAGGAGCGCAAAGTGAGGGTTTTTGCCAAAACATTTTACGCATATATGTATGTGAATGTATAAATAACGATATTCCCTATATAATATTGTATTATAAATATATATATAGTATATACGGGGATCATAGGACATACGAAGGTCCCAAAGCAAGTCTATATAAGGTGTCAGGATCCAAGCAAAGTCAAAACGACAAGAAATATTTGGAGCCACAAGAACTCACAACCACAAGGCCATAGACCATAGACGAAAGATTGTATATCACACTTGCAGAAGCACGCAACTAAACCAGCAGACATCCGGGATACTGGTTCCCAGATCCAGGCATTGCACAGCTCAAGAAATTATGTGCTTAGTGTTGCGCTCAAGTAACAAATGTGAGCCCACTAGCGAATATTGAATAACAAATCCTGGCCCAAGCAAGTCTTAGCCCAGAAGCTTCTCTGCCACGGCAGTGTGGTCTTTCATGCTAGTGACCAGTTCTTCTTGTTTGACTCCAAAGCTTCCTCGTTGTATGTAGAAACAAATTGAACATACCGAGGACGTGTCCTTCACCCTGTGAACCTCCATCTCACTTTCGTGGCCGGAGGGACAGTCCTGGCAGAATCAACAATCTGGATCAGAATGTGTTAGATTCAGCGTGGCTGTAGAAGAATTGAACTAGCAGCCAACAAGAAAATTAACCAGACTTGGCCAAATCTCCAACTAACCGACTTGCCCCGCTAACAAAAAATATTGTCCGTCCTTGTCAGGATCACCGAATTTTTGAGAACACAGAGGACATGTCTGCCCGGAGTCTGACTCCGCCATGTGCCAATCTCAAAGATAAAACTGCGCCAAAAAAATTGGCCAAAACTCTACGCTGGTGCCTTCCGTTCAGCCTGAACAAAAAGGATGACAGTTTGGAGTCGGACATGTGACATCCAAAGTGCTGTGCTGCTATTGGCAATACTTGGAAGTTTGGCCGTTGGCACAATTCACAACATCAAAATCAAAGCTCCTTGAATGAGCACAACCAACCCGACTGACATGACAAGAGTACCGCATTCAACATTCAGGCCAAAACCATCCACCTGAATGGAAGAGAACAATCCCATCCTCATAAGTGCTTGTGACACGTGCTGCGTTCTCAGCTTTTCACAGGAATGCACGCATGTGCCCGCTTGCAAGTCAAAGCGGAATGGAACGCTACGATCCTTCCGTCTCACAAGAGATCCAAAGATAGGCAATGTGAGAAGTCTATGGGCTAATCTCTTCGAACCTGCAATGAAGAAAAAACTCCACCCCATGGAATTTCGACGTGCACAACACACAAAGGCTCGACGTTTCTCAGGCAGTTTCCCGTTCGTGAGAGGAAAATGAAAGAAACAAACAGTGAGACACTGAAATCAATTTGATGCGAAGTTAAAGCAAGCAGTGTGTCCACGTGACTCTGCCATCACAGTTTGGAACAGTAGTCTGAAACAAATCCACTGTCATGCAGAATCAGAAGTTTTGGTGTTCGGCTGGTACTGGCTACTTTTACCCCAGAGCACCAAACAAGATTCTGTCAATCACGGCCGCTGCAAAGGAACCAATCCTCAGCGGGATTGATATCTTACTGCGGTCAAGACACCTTGCAAAATCCCAATGACTCACACTCTCAGCCATATCAAGCGCCCAGAGTCCTGCAGCTAAACTACGCTTTCGGCAATAAACTTTTGCCACCAATCATCTAGCACCAATCGGAATCAACAGCATAGATTATATCACATCAAACAACATCGAGGCTATAGCTGCCATGGAAAAGTTCATATATCAAAAACCCAACTCTGCGACCCCCACACATCGAGGAGAGCTACCGTGGTGCCCCTAACTCCGGCACAGCAAGTAAAATCCTTCAATTCCAGCCCATCTTCATCATGTCAGCATGTAAGACAAGCAGCATGGTTGGTGATGAATCACTGCTGTGGCAGTCCGAAGATGAAGCTGGAGCCTGCAAGCCAACAAACATTGGCAATTGGTAGTTGAAAGATGGTCGAGGAAACTTGTTTCACTGCTGCAAACATCTCCGGCCAGAAAACGGTGTGTGTGAAAACCGCTTGGTGTTTTGCGGTCTGGGATTGAGTTCTAGTCATCAATACGCAGGGGGCCAATCTCATGTTTGCAGCTGATTTGCCCAACGAACAGGGCTGCATTCATGACTGATATCACTCTGGGACGCTGGGGTCACGTACCTGCTAATGTCAGAATGGCAAGGGGCCAAGAGCCGAGAACCCCACAACACATGTGGTTTCGAAACATTGTATATCAGTTGGACTCTGTGGTTTGTCAGGTTGCAGTACTTAGGAAACTAGAAGCGTCCACGATCATATCATCATACAGTCCCTTATCAGAGCAAGAAACTACTCTGTATGCAGTGTGTCAGTGTGTGCATGTGTGCTGCGAGGGCCATGCCCCCGCTGATGGAATCAATATGCAATGCTGCTTGTGCACTGTCGAAATCAATGCTGCCCCTGCACTGCCAGGCGGGCCTCCCAAACCGATCTGCTGCCATCAGGGTCACTTGTGCTGGATTTGCTATCGTCGCTGTCCTGACGGTGGGTGAAAAAATAGTTTTTTGTTTTTTCAAGACTTGACAGGCTGACCAGGAATATGATACGGTAATATGCGGCAGGTAATATGTCGGCGTGAAAATGGAAAGTACAAGACGATCAGTATCCAGCAGCAAAATAATGCAGTCTGATAACACCATGGAATACTAACGCTTGACTTGAACAATTCATCAACTGTCAAAACTGTTTTACTTCGTGTGATCCCCACCGTAGAAAATATTCGGATCTTTTCTGGTTTTTTATTTGGCATGAATTTTGACGCTCTGTGTGAAATCTATTTTGACATGCGATCCGGCAGCCTGAACTCTCCGTCAGTATCTGACATTTAATCTGACATTCCACGTCACATAAACTGTGACGTGATGTTCTATCTGACATGTTCTCTGGTAATTTTTTGGGACATGCCATCCGGCATCTTATTTCACTTTAGACCTAATATTTGCCAAAATTTTCGGGTCCGGGTTCGAGTCCAGTGGGGCCCAGAGAGCGACATGGCAAGCTCGACATAACGAGCATTAGGCGTGGGTGTGGTTGCGTGTGGGTTCTTCATTTGTTAGAATCTAGAGACCCTCACCTGGCATGGGGACAACGAAAACCGTGCATCTGACTTGATTTTGTGTTTTGCTGTCAAGGCCATGAAGCCTTCCCCGTCGTAAATTTTGAGAGCCAACAGCCCAAACAATCCTCATCTCCGCTATCTGTCTCTGAATCCGAATCGGAATCGTTGGTTGGAGGGACGTAAGTCTGTGTCAGAAACGGCCTCGGTTCATGTGCTCTTTTGAGAGCAGGCGTCTGGCAAGAGAGTTGTTGGAATTTCCCATTGGCCCGTTAACTCAACATATGCTTATGTAAATTCAAGTCTACATAGATCGAAAGTATGACCTGTCAAAGTCAAACAATGTGCAAAAGCACTATATCAAAGCATGGTACCGTTTGTGTATGTACGGCCCAAACAGCGACGGGATATTGTTGTGGTCAAAACTTAGAAAGCCCATACAAGCAAATACGTAGGTGTAGATGTTTTTGCGATTGCGCGGCTTCATTATTTTAGACATATCTATATATATTAAATTATTATATATATAATATGTATATATATATATATTTACATATGTTAGAATCACATGGTCTAACGACAGTGCCATTTATGCTGCTTCTAAACAGTAGAATTTTGAGGATCGCTGTTTACAACATGCTTTCATTGAGTTGATACAAGCACTGATGAATTGTTTTACACCGTTTAGTATGAGCATCGCTGTATTCTAGCTTATGACGAATGGAAAAATATCAAAACCGAAAGACGTTGGAGTCAAACGCAAAGAACCTTGACTTAGGCCTTGACAGCTGCTAAGGGTGACATGCGGTGCACACTTAGCCAAGGCACCTTCCAGAGTCATCCTTCAAGAGGATTCCCAGGGTCAAACCCACCACCAGTGCGCCCAGCACGGACGTTGTCACCGTGTTTCCCGCAAGCCGGTTGTATACTCGATAGCTTTTTTCCGTCCAAACAAAATCGGAAACTTCGAAGCCCTGCCCTGCCATCAGCACCTGACAGGCGATGGCACTAGTGAGGCTCCAAAAACAGTTGATCGTGGCTGCACGCCAAGCCATTATGAACCGACCATGGGACATGGGGCAATCCGGAAATATTGAAAATTTTCTGCTCACGCATGTGCAAGTCTAGCCGACCACCATCTTTCAAAACTGTTTTCACAACGAAGTGAACAAATCAGGCCTCCGCTGGGACGAAGGATTTGCGGCCCAAATGCCACAACTTCATGCAGCAGCTGAACGCCGATCCAAGCCCCTGGGGGTAAACGCCCATGCCGTTTGCACTGCTGCCTCAGCGCTGTCGCTGTCAAGGAGCTGCAAAGGTAAATCTATTCAGCTGATTTGGTTGACTGCATTGGTGTCCTGGTGGGTTTGACACAATCGTATGTAAAAACATCTGTGCTTCCCACGGGCCACATCGACGTAGGTGTCGAGATGCTGGATTCCACTGTCCTTGCAGAAAAAACAGGACAGGGGAAGCTAACTAGACTCAAGAACACATAGCGCACAAAACCCTAATGATTCACACATGTTCATTCTCAATGAAGTACTAGTTAGCCCGGCCCGAAACCTTCAAGACAACTTACTTTTTAGACCACATGTATCTGCCAAAAATGGCATTGAAAATCTGCATCGTGGCTAGTCTTTGCTTGCACAAACTGGCGCCACGCAGGTGATGCAGTGATGGAAGCTGCAAAGCCGGAAGAACGTCTTCAACCCAAGAAAAACAAGTTCGAATGCAACATGGCATGAAGGCGAATGACAAACAACATGACAAGCAATATACTTCCAAGTAATTCAGCGACCGGCAACGACAGTGTCCTGAAAATGGTACAACATACTATGAAATGGCTTGGGGACATCACATCTTGCACAAGTGTGAAGCATAAATGCCTGAACTAATCTGTCAAAAAAACGGCGGTATAGAAACAACGCTCTAATACTTTTCACGCATGGGAAACGCTGCAAATTTTGAAAACCAAACGTCTGATCTATTCTGCTGTCCTGCGTCTCTTTACAATATGATAAGTTAAGCATTGGTTCGTTTTAGCATCAAGGAAGACACAACGAAACTGCAAGTCAGAGGCCCAATCTAAAAAGAAAAGACGGAAAATGAGTTAATGCAATGAAAAGGATGCAAGCAGGACAAGAAGCTACAAAAGGCGGCATGGTGTACGACATGGCATGCATCCTGTGTAAACTCGAAGTCAAATAAGTGGTACAGTATGTTGGGTTTTAACACATTGAAACATTTTAGGTTATACGAATGAAATTTTATTTAATATGACATAGGTAGTCAAAGAAGAAAAGTTGACAGGTGTTCAAGGTTTTCAGGATTACGCACGTAACACTTTGTCAGTGGAGAAGGTGGAGACTGAAAATGATGTAGCCAATATGTGGTTAGAACAAATCGACATATAAGTTATGGGCAGTTACGGGTTAAAGGTTGCAGTCCTTAAAAACTAAATAACGGTTGGAAAGAGCTGAAAAGTTGAGAAGGAAAAAGGCAGGAAAAGGTACTTTGTAGCTGAAAGGAAAGTAAACAAAAATTAAGTTGCTAAGTCGTTTAAGGTGCAAGAATGTTATATAAGTTAAACGTTGTAAACAACAACTAGATATAAGTTTGTTTTAAAGAAACAATCTACATATACGTTGTATATAAGTTATAGATAAGATTTTGATAACAGTTAAATATAAACATTTCAAACTAAGTTAAATAAAATATGATATAATAATATACTTAAATCATATATGATAAAAATAATATATGAAAAAATATATGATGAAATAATATATGATAAAATAATATATGATGAAATGACATATGATAAAATAATATATGATAAAATGATATATGATAATTCATGAAAAATAGCAATATGCAGAACGGTTCTAAACGGTTCCGGTTGATAGTTTTCCAATCTTCCAGAACGGTTCTAAACGGTTCCGGGGATGAACTTTTCTCAGAACTATTCAGAACTATTTAGAACGGTTCTGGAACTATTTGTTTTTATGCCTCTGTGCTCCCAGAACGGTTTAGAACGGTTCTGGGGGCCCTTGTTTTTGATCTGAAATATGTTAACTTATTGATATATGTAAATATATATATATATTTAACATATGTTAGCATATGTTACTGAATATGTTCTCTAAGTATCATTGAACATATGTTAACTTACTGATACATATATATATATATATTTATTTAAAAGCTTCATCTCCAAGTACTTGAGAAATGAAGATAAGATAAAACAATTCAGAAACCTCCCCACTTCCCAGATCACTTTTCTTTTATCACTTTTCATTGCTTACTAGATACGGTTCACTTTCCCTTAAAGCAATAAACAAGCTTAGCAGGAAAAACAAAAATTAGGTTAAATCGGCTGTAACAAGACAAGGAAAGTCAAAGATGAAAAGGGAACCTGGGAAAATACCACCTCGCAGCTAAAGAACACAACAAAAGGACAGTAATTTTGAATGCGTCGGCAGCCACAGACCATTCCACACTTCAGCAATGACACTCTGCCGTCCTTGCTCTGCTGCTTCAACTTGGCAAACTCCACATCCAACTTCACTTTTTCACGTTGGTTCAGAAGGTGCCTCTCGTGACGTTCTAAATTGGAGCAGTATTGCCCCCAACCTCCACCCAAGACCCCAAGGCGCTTCAACAATTTCTTCTCCTTCTTTTGGGCCTTCTCGCACTTCCGTGCTGCGTGGTCCTGCCACAGACATGCCGGCCAGACATGCGACAAATCGCCAAGGGTCCAGCCAGAACCGTTCTAAACCGTTCTGAACACTTGAAAAACAGGTTTGGCTGTGCGACTGGGCAGCGCAAAAGGTCGCGCTGTCCTTGGACACTGGAGGAAAAGACAAATCCAATCCGCTGTCCACGCAATGCTCCCAGCCTCAAGTAGAGACAGGATAGAGTGCGCAAGCTTTGGGGACAACTATAGTACCTTTGGTAAATCACCCAGGTCAAACTAGATACCAGTTGCATGCGTGAAAGCAAGCAGCTAGAACAATGCATGCCAACGGCAGATCATGCGCTGCACAATCAGTACAGGCAAGTTGATACAAACATACTTGCGTTGGAGTTTGATGGTGGTGCCACCGTCACCTACAATTTTGTGGCCCATCAAAAGGTTCTATTGATCTTTACTTCTACAACAATGTGAAAATGATATGGTCCAAATGGCAAAAAGATACGTATAACAATGAAAGGGGCAAAACAAAAGATATAACGATTACGATGTTATAATTAGTTTTATGTTCTTGGATTCTCACGCCTGTAGGTGTTTTCAACTTGCGCACGACATCTCTGGAAGTCATTGTGCCTGCATCGAAAATTAACACATGTCTAAAAATAGATGAGTTGCCTTCAATAAGTCCAAGAGTGATACCTTAAAAAAAAATCTATATAGTGACTGATATTGGTATTCTTAGCTCAGCAAAATTCTACACAAACAAATTGAGCATTCAGTGTTTGACCTGTGATATGCTTCAAAGTCAAATTTACACATTGACAATAGATAGATTGCTGCCTAAGTATACTTATGGCCGGTAGGCTCGAAAGCTAGGTATCAAAGAATACTAGCATCGCTATTTCATAAGAATACTAGCTAGGTATCAAAACGACAGGGTTACATGGCATTGTGCATGCCTGAGCTTCAACACGGGCGATCAATAAAATCATCTAGTGACACTGTCCTGACCGACCCCTTTCCACAAGGCAAGAAACATTTGTCCAAGGATGCTCTTTCGTGAACCGTGGGGCACTCAAGCAGAACCCATGCACACAGACGCTCCAAATCCATCTCGTCAGAAACATCTTGCCGCGCTCCAACAATGAAGCATCTCTGGCGGGTATTGGGTGATCCAAACCAGCTGCTCCTTACAAGGAAGCACAACATGCTGTGAAAAAACACATGCATCCACACATGTCTACTCAGGTCATGGCACCAGCTGCAAGGATCTAACATGTTTACGGAAAAGCTGTGATATTGCCAAACTTCATTTGACAGGGCCAACAAAGCCAAGACGCTTCAGCTTCAACACTTTCACATAGTATGGCTTGAAGCCTTCGCTCCTGCAAAAACGAATGTCTATTTCAAATCTCCTGTCATTCCAGACATCATCTTGATCATGGGAAATGCTGAATCATCGTGTCTGTGGCTATGTCCTCATGTGGAAAAGGTACCTGGTGACTGTACCGGGTGACTGTATGTATGTATGCATGCATGCATGCATGTATGTATGTATTTATGTAAATACATATGTAAATATGTTTGTATATATGCATGCATGCAAGTACGTACTGGATGATTGTATGTATGTCTCTTGGTATGCATGAATATCCGTATCTGTGTATGTTTGTTTGTTTGTATGTATGTATGTATGTATGTGTGCGTGCACTGCGTGTACTGTGTGTATTGTGTGTAATGTAAACACGCCTGTTTGCATGCTTTCATGACTGTATGTGCGTCTGTCTGTCTGTCTGTTTGTCTGTCTGTGTGTATGTGTATGTATGTGTATGTGTCTATGAATGTGTGTATGTGTGTATGTGTGTATGTATGTATGCATGCATGCATGCACGTATGTCTGTCTGTCTGTCTGTCTGTCCGTCTGTCTGTCTGTCTGTCTGTACTGTATGTATGTATGCATGCATGTATGTATGTATGTATGTATGCATGAATGTATATGTGTATCCACCTATGCGCATGTTTATGCGTATGTATGCGTGTGTGTAAGTAGTATATCTATGTATGCTCTAAGAAATCGCCATCCAGCCTGTTTCCATGCTGTGTGCTCCGACAATAATATGGTGTATACTCTGGGCAAAACCAAGTGAGACAACAGAATTGGCATGGCACTAAAAAGATCTAATTCCCACCCTTTCTGAATGTATCGCAGACCCTTCAGAATACCCAGCAACAGCACTCACTGCAAACGTTTTCCCAAATATTGCGAAAAAGGCGCTCTTCCAACAGGCCGTAGACGTTCGTGTCATCCCGTCCACGAAGGAAAAAGTCAATTGGGGCCTGTGGCAGGCAGAGATGGTCAGCATACAATGGAATGGCCCACCCCTACTTTTCAAGATCAAGGTTGCTGGTAACCCATCTAAAATAGTGATATATTGGCTATGTTATTATATAGCGCGACCTCACACATCTCATATCATATAATTCGTTGATAGATATTATATGAACCGGAAACGGAAAAAACATTGTGACTGTAGGGAATCCATTCCAAACAGAAAGACTGCTATAACTCTTGCAATCCAGGAGCGCTAAGGCAATTTCCTATAAACAAAGGTAATGAAAACGCTGCAAGGCTAATGCCCCGAAACTTCTGTGGACACGCCAACACTTTTGAATATGAATTACTTACTGTTGCATTCTTTGCCCTCCCAATCTCGGACCCAGCTGTATACCACTCTTTTCACAGCGAGGCGGCCAGCCCTTGCACATCCCTGCGAAGCTTATTTGCCACATCTGAACTGTCTGAAGGTTTACGTAGCCACTCTTGCACAAAAGCTCGTGCTTGAGAAAGGTCGCCTTTCTCCCTCTCCATGTAACTTGGGAAGCAAGCAAAATGAAGATAGCAATGGAATTTGACTTTTGAAAAGGCATACCCTATTCGAGATTCGAAACGCTGGATCTTCTCCCCACAGTACTTGCACTTGGCAAGTCTTGCTGCAACTTGCGTGCTCAAATCGCACACGCCTATTGAGCTGTTGCATTGGGTCGTGGGTCTCATCCTTGCAGAGGCCTCTGCAGCAGGGATCGGTGGATGCAACGGTTCCTTCTCTTCTTCAAATGCTTCGTGACTTTGTAAAATCTCATCTGTCGCTTTTTCCTCACGTCTTTGACCTGGGTTGGCCAAAACCTCCTCAGCATCTGTGTCTGTGTCAGATTCAGAAGTGAAGCCAGTTTCAGTCTCGTTGCTGGACGAATCTGATGCTGAATCATTGGACTCAACGAAGTCATCCAAGCTGCCTTCGTGTTCTTCATCCAATGGTTTCAGCAAGGCGCCAAGCAAACCACCTCTGGTTGTAAAAGGTGCGGTAGCGTGGTCGGACTTGGGCTTCACTGTGGTCCTTCGTTTCTTTGGTTGCGGCCGAACACCTAATGGCAAAGTCTTCCGCTTCTGGGCTGGCTTTTTGCGTTTGTTTACATCCAGAACATGGGTAGAAACGGCATCTTTCAGCACGTTGACAGAGAGCAAGGGTTGGTCAGGATCCAAGGTGTACTGGAAAATTTGAATGGTCAAAGTGCTAGTAGCCCATGTCGAACTCAAGAGATCTTGGAAAAGCTGGTGGCTTGTCCACCATGACCTTACATTTGCAACAAATAAGAAACATCTGCAGGAAATATGGGTATCTGAGAATGAACTATAAGAAGAGATCTTTTTTAATGAATCCATGCAACGGGGTGATAACCATACCGGATTTAGATGAAAAAACATATTTTCTGTTGCCCAGCGCAGATCAAACAGGTTGTCGCAAGGAAAGCAGACATGGACCGATGTATTTTGGCAAAAGCGGCTACAACCCCTCATTGTGTTTTTTGTGCGCTCTTTGGTTGTATAGTTTTGGCTACATGTTACATATATCATCATCATAAGCATTTGATTGGTGGTCTCTAACGTCTGCAAGGTTGCAGGCAGCGAATCTTTGAGCAGTTGCAAAATTGCATCCACGGTTGGCGTGTAGAAGCGCGCCTTAGAAGTTAGATGAAGAAGCCAAGAGCGTAGCATCAAGTGCACCGTAAAAGTTCCATGGAGAAGTTAAGAGCGTAGCATCCAGTGCACTGTAGAAGTTCCATGGAAAAATGCATGGAAAAATGATGAGTGTAGCATCAAGTGCACCGTGGAAGTTACATGAAAGAGTTTCGCATGAACGGTAACGCCCCCCACCCAACCCACCTCCCCCGCTCCCCCCGCATAAGCAAGCAAAGCGCGCGTGTTTGAACATGCAGTTCACATGAAACTTGACACGCCCCAACCAGACCCGCCCCCACATAGGCAAGCAAAGCGCGCGCGTATGTGAACGATAAAGCACATGCACCGACTAACCTGCGCGTGTCAGTTACTGCAGTTCACATGAACGTTAACGCGACCTAACCCTTCCCTCCCCAGAAACATATGAAAATAGGACCGGTCATCACCCCGTTAGCAGAAACATGCAACAGCGCTACGAGCTTGTCAAATTGGAAAAATACCCGGCTATCCCTAAAATACAAGCATTTGGGGGTATTTATACCATGTATAAATCTGAAGTGAAAGGCAGGAATGAGAAAGTGCAAGTATGATCATGTAATGACATTGCCACCCATTAATCTAATCTAGTTGAAAGAAATATTAATAAAAATAGTTAATAGTTAGTTATAAATCAATAATTCACTTGGATTGCACATGACCACCATTGGTGATGAGCAGGGCAGAGACCAATAGAGCAAATGCCAAACCACGCGGCAATTACGGTGACCCATGGTGCTCCTAGCCCCTAGCACAATCCATGCTCGGTTTTGGTTTAAGACCGTATCAAGATACATGTGCTGCAAGCTCGGCTTGCCGATGGAAATCTGTGAGAAATCTGCAGATGGCTCGCCTTCTAGAACAACTTGCACAATAGGCTTCTTCAAAGCGGGTCCCATGAAGAAAAAGCGCTGGTGACGACACACACAAAAGCTGAACAAATCACCAGGTGCCAAGTGACCTCACTTGCGAAGATGTGGCGCAACTAAACCATTCAAAAGACATGTGTTTCCCGCAACAGGCTTAAACAAACTTGTTTTACAAGTATTTATTTTGGGGCAGGGCTTCAAAAACAAAACATGGCATGTGCAAAACAGCGTGGCAATTTCTCTTAGCACTTCCTGGTCCAAAAAGAACAAGGCCCTGCAGATGCCCCGAAACAACAGCAAATCAGCTGATCTCTAATATGACGAACTGCTCTCCAAGAAACCATCTGAAATAAGTCTGTGCATCGTCAGCACAAAATTGCTTGCCAGCTTGACATGTGGCATCTTCGAGCACACGCCATGAAGCGCTTGGCAAACGTCATGTTTGCAACCTTCAACCGACTCACTCTGCCAAAGCCTGCTACCATCCACAGGGTCCTTGAAGACCTTCGACCAGGACGCCGAAATGTCCAGATCCGTTGAATTCAAATCAATGAGATCAAGCTTCAAGCACCCCTCGGCACTGGAAATGCCGCCGTTCCAAGTTGACCACACATCGTCTTCGCAAAAGCCTTTGTACGTTTCTTGCAGCCGAGCACGTGATACTGCCCTCAAACCACTTCTGGGAATGGCTGATGCAGCGTCAAAAGAAGCATTGCCAAGCTTGCGCCACCCTTTGGATTTGTCTGACTTCGATTGAAACGGCTGCATGGCAGCTTCCTCACGTAGACCTTGTTCATGCGCAGCTTCAGCCTCGAACTTTTCCTTGTCCCTCGCACTAAGCCTTGACCAGGCCGTCGAGCACAGCCCAAGCTCCTCCTTCCATGTGTCCGGATCAACTTGTCTTTTCTGAAACCATTGGCGTTGGAATATATTCCAGCCTGGGTAACATGCTCCAAACGCGCCAAGAGAAAACTGTGAAGTTAGCAAGTCCCTTCTGTCTCTATCTCACTATATAATATAATATATATATAATATAATATAATATATTATAGTATAATATATATATATAGACTGAATATTCTAATATTTATATATCTGATCTATAGTAAATATAGATAAGTAAATAAACATATATATACATATATATATATATAAATATATATGATGCTGGTGTACTTTGAAGCGTCTATGTCACGCAAATGGTGAATCTTGATGTTACACAGAAAATTTGTTCCCCACCTGCCAGGTGAGGGTTGTTAGATTTTATCACAGTTGTTCTCGGCTAGCTTCTTCTCCTCCTCCTCCTCCTCGTCCTCCTCCTCGTCCTCCTCGTCCTCGTCCTCCGCCTTCTCCTCCGCCAAGCTCTCCGCCAAGCTCTTCGCCAAGCTCTTCGCCAACGTCCGAGCTCAGTGAGCACCGCTGGACCTCAACCTGGGACCTTCCCAGCTCAGTGAGCACCGCTGGACCTCAACCTGGGACCTGCCCAGCTCAGTGAGCACCACTGGACCTCAACCTGGGACCCTCCGAGCTCAGTGAGCACCGCTGGGCCTCAACCTGGGACCTGCCCAGCTCAGTGAGCACTGCTGGACCTCAACCTGGGACCTGCCCAGCTCAGTGAGCACCGCTGGACCTCAACGGCCAGATAGAATGCCAGAAGATATAGAATGCCAGAAGATATGCCAAGTAGAGTGCCAGAAAATATGCCAGATAGAATGCCATATCGAATGCCAGAAGGTATGCCAAATAGAATGCCAGAAGATATGCCAAGTAGAGTGCCAGAACATATGCCAGAAGATATGCCAGATAGAATGCCAGAAGATACGTCAGAAGATATGTCAGAACATATGCCAGAAGATATGCCAGATAGAATGCCAGATAGAATGCCAGAAGATACGTCAGAAGATATGCCAGAACATATGCCAGAAGATATGCCAGATAGAATGCTAGAATGCCAGAAGATATGTCAGAACATATGCCAGAAGATATGCCAGATAAAATGCCAGAAGATATGTCAGATAGAATGCCAGAAGATACGTCAGAAGATATGCCAGAACATATGCCAGAAGATTTGCCAGATAGAATGCCAGATAGAATGCCAGAAGATATGTCAGAACATATGCCAGAAGATATGCCAGATAGAATGCCAGAAGATATGTCAGATAGAATGCCAGAAGATTTGCCAGTAAGAAAATGTATAAATGTCATGGTGGGGATCACACGAAGTAAAGTAAATTTTCTGGGAATGGCAATGCTTGCCAATGCGGGGGTCAATGATGTCTAACAAGTTCAAATTTACAATCATTATTGCATCATCGCTTTTTAGTAAACATGGTTTTCGAGCGACTGATGAAACAACTCAGTTGCAAATATGATAGAAGCAGAAAAGATATTTTGATTCAAACGTGTGGCAACCAGGATCTTTCAGCATCTTTCAGCCATAAAAGATTTCACTTTCATGATTCGATTTCATTGTGCATGTGGCTTGCAGAAACGAATGTCGGACATGGAAAGAAGACTGAATACTTTTGTACCGCCTTCGATTGGCTATACATAACTACAAGTCAGTGCGTGCATTGCAGTAGAAGGTAATTCGGGACCAACACTTGAAAGCCAAAGTCCAGCCATATCAAGTGTCGGGAACAGCGTAACACAGAAAAAAAAAAAATGCGGGACAAGTGGCCACACACCTTCCGCCTGTTCTTCTTGGCAAGACTTTCCAGCGTGCAAACTTTGTCCATGTGTCCCATTTTCCACACGGACGATTCAGCATGTGGAGTCTCTGGTCCTGTCGGCCTTTCCTGTCGGTCCGTGTACTGGTTGCTACCCTTCCTCCCGTACCGGCACATCCGATGCATGGCCCCCTTGTCACCAATCTCATCCCACACACGGCTTCGAAACCTTTCGTAGGAACCAGTGATCACTGCCCAAAGCCCCAACTCTTGGGCTTTCGAATCCGAAGGCTTTCGCCCTCTAAACCTGTGTAACTTTGCCTGGTAGAGCCCGTGGACACATTCTACCGCATCTGATGACAATGGGGTGAATATGGCAAGGTCGGTCAAGAAGCTCCTCAAGGAACCGACTTTGGACCACACCTCCTCGCCACCCAAGCTCTTTGGAATGAAAGACAAGACCGGCATGCTGAACTCCATGTCAATGCAATCAGGACACTTTGTTGCAAGATCTTGGAACTCCCTGTACTTCTCCAAAAACTCATCGTTGGAGGCCATGTCCAGCAAGACAAACAGCTTGCACGGAAATCCTTGTGTCCGGGCGCCTCCAAACATGGAACAAGTGCCAACTGTCTGGGACATCAAAAATGTGACTCAGGTGATGATCATGATTAAAAAACCAACAAAACTCTCAGATGAACTGACATGTCAGAGTCGATCCCGCTCGAAGCAAAATCTACGCCAACAGTCCCCCATGGTGACGATGCCGGCAATGAAGCAATGCTTGGCCATTTGCGGCATCTCAAGATCAGGGAAAGATTTCAGCTTTGCGAGATACAGATCAAGAACATTCTCGCCGAAACGTCCAGACATGTAGGTCTTGAACATGTCTACAGACCTTCCAAAGGAAAATAGTTCATACGAACCCTGGGTAAACCTTTTTGTCAAGTAAAAGAAGATTGTCCCGGCAATACAGAGATACGAGAAACAGCAGCTACGGAAACAATAGCAGATCATGTCAAACATATTGGAAACTGCAGCACCGGGAACTTTGTCACAAGGACCAAAATTATGCCTACTGGCCAGGATTTCACTTGGGTCTCCACAAGACATTCTCATAAGAACCTGTACAAGATCATGCAAGGACCTGTACAAGACCATCCGCATGTGCGCAAGATCTTCTCACAAGGATCTCTGCAATATCTTGTTTAAAGACCTGTACAAGTTCATGCAAGGACCTCTTAGAGGATTTCATCAGGATCTCTGCCAGATCTTCTCGCAAAGACACGCACAAGATCATGCAAGGACCTCTTGGAGAACTTCAGCAGGATCATGACAAGGTCTTCTCACAAGGACCTGTTCAAGATAATGTTCAAAAATCTTCTTCACAAGAAACTGTTCAAGATCATGCAAAGACCTCTTCCGAGTGTTTCATCAGGATCTCTGCAAGATCTTCTCACAAGGACGTGTACAAGATAGTGCCAGGATCTCTTAAGAGGATTTCATTAGGACCTCTACAAGATCTTCTTACAAGGATCATTACTAGATCCTGTGGCATCGATCTCTACAAGATCTTGTCACAAGGACCGGCACAAGATTATGCAAAGACCTCTTGAGAGGATTTCATCCGGATCTCTAGAAGATCTTCTTGCAGGGACGCAAATTCTGTACGAGAGCTATTTTGTGCGAGAATTTACAGGGAAAATGCCACGCCCCAAGATGGAGTCCCACACTTTGTGCGACAATTCACAATGACAACGCGCATGGACATGAAGAGTATTGTTGCGGGTGAATATACAAGAAAAATGTCACGCCCCAAGATTAAGTACCACACTTTGCGCACGAGGATTTACAAGAAAAATGCCGCAGCCACGGTTCGGGACACAAGTCTTGTGCAAGAATTCACGATGAAAACGCGCATGGACATATCACAAGAGCCATTTTTTGCGAGAATTTACAGGAAAAATTGCGCAGCTAAACCCGCGCCCCAGATGGAGCCCCCTGATCAGGCACCGCCCTTTACTCTAACCGTAAGAACCCCTCAGTGTGGACACACTGCTTGAGAAATTTCCATGAACCATCATACTGACTTTCATCCCTGGCCTTTCCATGAGCTTCGTGTGCTCTTCGGTCTGCAAAGATGGAAGGTGGTGCAGGGCAGAAATTGCACCAGTTCTTTCAAAAAGACGATCCATGGCAGTGACCAATGGTTCCACCAAGACTTCAAGTAGAAGTGTGCGTGGCATGAAGTCATCTTTGCGGAACGCTTCAAAGGCAAGTTGTTTGCGCTTTTGATTGATCTCTGCGAAAGTCAACTGGGCAGTGACAGTGACGAGCATCTTAGACCAATCTTGGTCAGCAGCACCAGCCCCTTCTTCCACATGCTCAGCCAAAATTGCATCCAAGTCTTGGTCATCCTGCGACATCAGATTATGGGATTCAGAGAGGTGCTGCAGTGTCCGCGGCAGAATTTGGTGCAATAAGAACCCTTCCTTGGTGTGCTTGGTCGGCAAACATAACCAAACACAGAATCCTATCGTACCAGGTAAACCGCAACACCCCAAATCAAATCGCCAACAAGAGATGACAACAAACCGTTGAAATACAGGGAGAGCGACATGCTCTTGGAAAAACTCACGACAAAACTCATATGATATGATATTTCAAAATTCAATCCGCTATGTAAGTTATGTGCCAAAAAAGGGCACCGATCGACAGAGTGTAATTCTTGCCAAAAGTCTGTTTTATTAACCTGTTCAATGGTGAAAACTAACTGGTCAATGGTGAAATTGCAAGAGGACTGAAATCATGTCAAGAAGACTTTGCCAAAACTGTTTGCTTCCTGTTTTCAACTATTTATACATCTGAATATGGCACATTTGGTTCCACAATCATATCTCCTAAATCCCGTTCTGAGAGGACAGGTTTGACACCGTTCTAAAGCTGAACCAGACACGCAATTGGAACTATTGCGTCTCGCACTCCGAGAAATCCAGCAAAAATCTGAGACCGAACCTGATTCATAACAACAAACATTTAACTTACACTCCGCTTCTCAACATCATTGATGAAACCGCTCGAAAGCTAGAGTCGCCGGTTCCCAATCATTTACCTTCGTTGACAGGGCATCCCACAGATGCGTAAGCATTGACTCCTAGAAAGCACAGAGATCTGAACCTCTGCCAAATGTCTTTGCAGTAACGTAGTGCCCTGTGGGCATGGAGCCACCTGTATGTAAGTGGCACGGGGAATCCATGCAGAAACAGATCACTGTAATGACGGCATGTATCGAGAAGTGCAGTTTTCTTGCTTCCGCCACAGCTGCAACCTGGGACGCACCAGTGTGTGATCTGTGTTCCGCTTACCTCTCCGTTGTCCAAGGCTGCCAGCATCTGGTGGGTTCTCAATCTTTCCACACCATAACCAGGATAGGGCATGTCCTCCAGCAACAGGCCCAGCTTCTTCCGCTTTTTTTGCCATGCGCTGAAGGCATCTGGAAGTTCAGCAACTCGAACAAAGACAAAGTTGGCATTGATGACCTGTAGCATCGCTTTGCCAAACTGAAGACGAAAAGAATTCGCCTCAAAGAGGTGTCCAAGACGAACTATGCTCGACCAGTGGTGGCTAAAGTAGAATAGGATTTGTTTCCTGGACAATGCAACCTGGTGCAGTCCGCACCTAGTTGACAGCAATGGAAAGATTTCCGTAGTATCAGAAGAGCGGTGCTTCAAAAACGCTGCATTACGTAGTCCTTTCAATACTGCCAAATTGGTTTTGACTGAATCAAAAGACACTGCTAAACACTGGATGGGAATCTTGCCGGGTGAACTTCCTGCAAATGTCTCCGCTCCAAATCGCAAAAACCGCTCCCCTATGCACCCCAGCCATGCGAAGATCCAAGAGCAGAATTCACTGGCAAGACCACGTGCATTTGCACGTGGCAATGGAACCAAAGGAGTGTGCACAATGAAGCTCTTGCGAATAAAGCCCGCGCTCGCCTCACCTGCATCCTGCTGGCCTGTTTTGGCGTTGAATAAGACAGTTTGTGTGTTGTTCATGCAGCTCACAACCCGGCTTGGCTTTTGCGGCCCATCCAATGAGAGCCGCATGTTCGTGTCATCAATGATACAAACATTGATTGCGTGCTGCATCCTCCCACGGTGATCACGCAGGAATGCCATGATGCTGGAAGTAAATGATGCGAACCATGACCACAACAACCGCAGCCGGCGCCTTTTATCGGGGGCTTCAATGCCAGGACGAAGCAGCTCTGAGCTTGACCTCAAATCCTCCCTAAAAGGATCCGCCGGATGAGATGGCAGGGTCTCCAATTTTTCCTTCCTTTTCAAAGCTTTGCTGAGCAAAGATGCAGCCCGTGCCTTTTCAGTCCTTTTCCGTTTTCGAAGAAAATCTAACTCCTGGGCATTGGGGTCTTCTCCAGGAGTGTCTCTGTCTTCCCCACTGCTGCTCGTTGATTCCGAGGAACCAGCGTTGGAACTGTCACCCACGCTAGATGCACATGAGCTGGCAGAGGTCTCGGAACCTTACCAAGAACTGACCTGAAAAACGACATGGCTCATCATGGCTCCAGGTGCAAGGTCTACCTGATTGGTTGTTTTGTATGTGAACAGATGTGTGCATGGCGGCGATCGCAAATGTGAAGCATGGTGTGACTACCATACAAGCCATGGGTCATGATTTGTGACAATCATCAAGACCAGACAACCGCAAAGAAGAGATGAAATGTTCAGTTCGGATCCGCAACCTTGCCGTCTCATTTACCCTTTTGAGTTCTCTCTTCTTTATACCATACTATATCATTTCTTTGAGCAGCTGGCCGGCCTCGGCTTGAGTTAGCCGACAAGATGAATGCGATGCAGTTTGAAGCCTACAGATTTATACTGGACACCCCCCGAAGCACCACAGAATGTTCTCCCGAAAAACAGCTGCAGCCCACGAACCCAAATGCTCACACGCTTGATGCCGAAACACGTGCTTTCACACTTTCCATTCCACACTCCACACTTCACACTCTCAACTTCACACCACACACTCTCCACTTCACACTTCACATTCAACACTCCACACTCGACATTTCACACTCCACAATTCACACCACCCATTCTACAGTCCACACTTCGCACCCCACATTCTACACTCCACACTCCCCACTTCACACTCCACACTCCCCAGTTCGCACTCCACACTCCCCACTTCACACTGCACACTCCACACCGCAGACCCCACAGACTCGATACTCCTCACCCCACATTCTACTATCCACACTTCACACTCCACACGCAACACTTCATACTCCACTCCACACTCCCCACTTCAGACTTCACACTCCACACTTCACATGCCCCACTCCACACGACACGTCCAAAGTGCTGCGCTTGCCACGCAAAAAACACATTTGCTACCTCAAAATCGACATTTCCTGCAATGCTTCCATCATTTTTCGAAACGTCTCGGAACTGTCACACAAAATTTGCACCTTCTTCTCACTTCTCACCATTTGACGCAGAGTCAAGAATGCGATTTGCAAAAAAACGCAACTCGACGCGTCTAAAGCGTTGCGCCGGCCACGAAAAATGAACATGCACATCTCCAAAGTGCTGCTGCGCCTGCCAAGGATTCCGGAAATGTAAAGCATCTTCTGCAAACCTTTCCATTAAAGTGTTGCGCCTGCCACGCAAAATGAAGTTGCGCAACGTTGTAAACCTCGAAAAGTGACCGCTTTTCCAGCACTCGCCGCTATTTAACGGCACGGCCATACAACACTCTCGCGAATGCCAATTTACTACCTCAAATCGACGTTTCGTGCGACGCTTCTGCCAATTATCAGCACATCTCGGAAATGTCGTGCCTGCCACAAAAATTGCACCTTATCACCACTTGACACAGCGTCAACAATGCGATTTGCAACAAACACGCAGCTCGACACATCTAAAGCGTTGCGCCTGCCACGAAAAAGGGATATGTACACGTCCAAAGTGCTGCGCCTCCCACGCAAAATGAAAATCATCGTCAGAAAACATGTCAGAAGTATTGCGCGTGCAACACAAACCCATGTTTGACACTTTAGGAAACACGTCTGGATGTCACAAAGTGACAGACAGACTTGCCAGTGGCACGGCCATACAACCCGCACGTGAACGGTTGCGAACGGTGGCGGACGGTTGCGAACATAAACGCAACGTCGAGCAAACACACCCTCAAGGCCCAAGCCCCAGAGTGAAATGGGAACCCTTGGTACGCATGTGGGAAAAAGGGGCCATTGCCTGCCATGCTCTGGTGGATGCAATGTTCTTACCAAAGACCTGTGCAAAATATCATCGAGCGGATACTTGCCGTTCGGGTCACCTATATGGATACTTGACCGTATGGTCATGAGTCATGGTAAAAAGGCTTCTTACTGTTTTGAATTCGGGATGGTAAAACAGTAGTTAAACATTCAAAAAGGACATGCTGCAAGTGAAAGCAAAAATACCATCATCCATCAGCAAGCAAAAACACGCTTCAGGAATGAAACCTGATCTGGTCTACTTAGACTCCATCCAAAACGACTCTCATTTGCAATCACAATTTAACAAGACAAATCACAAAAACCCTCTGGCTGCCATGGGCCCTGGCCTCAAACAGCTCACCTCCAACGTTCACTGGCTTTTGAACTTCTTCATGATCGAAGACACCTGTGTCCAAGAACATTCTTGCAGGATTGCAGGAGCGGGTCAATGTCCAGATGTGAAAGAATCAAATTCAACGGCCAGGCGATCTCTACGCATCTCCCCAGGCATGCTCAATGTCATGCCACTGCAACATATGGAAAGCTCCCAAGCAAACGTTGGAAAACATTTTCAACAAACATGTGTCTCTCTCTCTCTCTCCATCAATCCCGTTGAAGCGGCAGTTCATACCTCGACCCCGTCCCCATGCCAATACTTTTTCTTTGATGTAATGAATTTAACTATAATTTAACGTTCAAATCTTGCACGGTTGATTCTTGTCATTGTCACTGTCAATATTTCTGAAAGCAACATTGCTTCCTACCAAAGAAAACCGTGTGACATAGAATATGCGTCCCGGCCTCCTCTATGATGAATGTCTTTGGGTTCCGGTCGCGCATTTTGGCCAGGCAGTCGAAGACCACTTTGCAGCCAGCTTCCTGCAGGATGTCATTGTCCATGTCGGGCAAAGAGTCAATAATTGGTTGTACGGATATGATCGCCAATATTCTGTGCTATTAAGAAGGGAGATGTACGTACCATGCAACGCGTCGTGAATTCCATATGTGACAGTGGTATTCTGCGATGTGACATGTTTTTCATGATTCTATTGAAAAGGGTTCTCATTGTATCTTGGCTTCGCACACATTCGGGATGAAAAAGGCATGTCAACAATATCCTTTTGATTGCATGGCACGAGCTCCTTGAAAGGGTTGTAGGTGCTGCTTCGCGTTCTTGTGTTCAGAACGCTGAACAAAGGGCACGGAATCCCTATCGCTGCGAGGTCTGTCTCTCCTCTTGGAACGCTATGATCTGTACTGCAACAGTAGCAAAAGCCGCCGCTTGTGTCGTGAGTGACATCGGCGAAGAAATGCTCCCCTCAGATTTCTTTATTTACATCAATGAGTCAATGAATGATGTAATCAAAAATCATGGTTTTGACCCATTCAGTCAAGGATGTTTTGAGTACATGTTTTGAAACCCTTTCCCGGATATAAAATATTTTAAATGCGATTGTCATTTGTAAATGGGGTTCTAAAGTCTTAGAAGTGGCACAAAGCCAAAACTGCATGAACCATCAACCCAGTCACAGTCGAAATGGCGCAAATTCCAGTCCTGGGAAGATGCGTCAATGTCGGAAGAAAACTCAAGCCGATGCGCCAGACCATACTCCGACAGGTGCTTCCTCGGATGGCTTTTAAGAAAAGGGTATGGATCGCTCCGTGGTCGTTCATACGGTATACGTATGAAACCAAGAAGGAATTCAAATGAATTCCTTCCTCTCAAAAAGCTATGGAACAGGGGTATGGCCCGGAATGTGGATTCTGGGTATGGATCAGGATGTGAATTCGTGAAGGTGTAAGGATCGAAGGTATAGATGGGCTGCGATGTGGATTCAAGCTTTGGGTCGCAGTATCCAAGTGCGGCCACAGGGCAAGACATACGCCAAAGAACCTGCACCTTCGCACGCGCCCCAAACTTTCAACCTGAGCTGTCGGGAGGTGGGGTGCGATATTGTAGTATGGACACCTGGGTATTCGATGGATTATCAACAGGCATGGCTGACAGACGGATGCTAATGCAGCAAAATCTTGATGGCAATTGAAAAAGGGAAACGATAATTTGTCTAAAATATCGCAGCAACAAATTTGATTGTATCTGTGCATTTTACCGCTATCCTGATGTGCTATTTGCAGCCGTTCCTATACTACCAAATAGACCAGGCAATGAATCAAATCTCAAATCACATAGACTGATATGAAACGAGCATAAATACGTTAAACCAGTTGACATTTGACATGAGATATGACCGGGCTCTGACTGCAACATCTCCAATCCGAAAACATCCGAAAATGATTGAAAAACAAAAACCATCCTGCAGTTGGGAAGCTCACTTCCTAGCCCCGTAGTGTCGTTACCAAAGTGGTCTTCCCCTTCTCTTTTTAGCACATACTCAGAGAATCACGCCACTTAATGAATAGCTCTAGTTAGTAAGCCCCCAATTCGTGGATTATCCCGTGTATGGGGTGGTGAATGAGCCTACTTCCTACCCAACCTCTCAATTCGTGGGATGATCCTCCAAGAATGGTTGCCTTCCGCCACTCAAACACATCGGCTTTTTCTGCTGCAAAATCAAGTGTCTATCTATCAATTATTTTACTTCGTGTGACCCCCACCGTTCCATAAATCCTGACACTCTAAATGGCATATATCCTGACATACTACCTGACATATCAGCTCGCATTTTATCTCACACTTTATCTGGCGGCGTTCTTTTCGGCGTTGCTATCAGAAATCTATAATCTAGTTCTGGAATTCTAGTAGTTATACAAATGTTCATGCAACATTCTATCTGGCAATATTTCTTGCATTTATGTCGCTCTCTTTTCATTTTAAACCTGACAAGTATTCTGACATCTTACTTCTCAGTCTATCTGACAGTGACATTCCTGTATAAGAAAAACTGACATTGGAGGTTTGATCTGAATTTGATTTATCTCGTGCATTCGGTTTTTTGCATGTTTCGCATTTACAGCAAAGATTTTTTCGTTCCGATTTTGGAACAAAAAAATCAGCTAGATAGAAATATATATATATATATTCGGACATGGCCCCCATCTAAACCCCAATTTGGGTAATGTAGACGCGTCTTTTGTTTGGTGCACTTCCACGTACTTTGGTTTCACTTTGGCGCTTTGCTTTCTGTTAGTGAATGGCTAGAAGTTAACTTGAGATGGATGGAAGTGAAATTCGCACGTAACAGGGCGTTCAAAAGTTCACGCGTTGTTTTTGGCTCCCATCCAAAATCACCGTTTGGAGCTTATAAAGTGGTCACTTCACGCACCTTTCCAGGTAGTAGAATTCAAACCCTTGTGCTTGCGCGAGGGCAAGGATGGAAATAAGTGAGAATACATATAAAGAAACGCATGTGACACAGATTTTTGGATCTTAAAATGTGCCCATAAGTCAAAAACTGGCTTTAGGCCATGGCCCCCATCCAGACTCCCAATTTGGGTCACATAGACATGTCAATTGATGCACTTCCACGTACTTCGGTTTCACTTTGGCGCTTTGGTTTCTGTTAGACTCTTAGTGATTGGCTAGAAATGGATGGAAATGAAGTTTGCACCTAACAGCGCGTCCAACAGTTTAGGCGTGGTGTCTGGTTCCCATCCAACATCACTGTTGGAAGCTTATAAAGCGGTCACTTCAGGCACCTTTCCATTTCTTAGAATTCACTCCACCATTAACCCCTGTGCTTACGCGAGGGAATCGATGGAAATAGTTGAAAATTTGTGACTTGAGACGCACAACGCTGACTGTTTTCGCATATAGACGGGTCCAATATCGTGCACTTCCACGTACTTCGGTTTCACTTTGGCGCTTTGGTTTCTGTTAGTGAATGGCTAGAAGTTGGTTTGAAATGGATGGAAATGAAGTTTGCAGCTAACAGCGCGTCCAAAAGTTTACGCGTGGTGTCTGGCTCCCATCCAAAATCACTTTTGAAAGCTTACAAAGCTGTCACTTCAAGCAGCTTTCCTTTGCCTAGAATTCACTCCGGCTTTAGCCCTTGTGCTTACACTAGGGAAAGGATGGAAATGGTGGAAAAATTGTGACTTGAGACGCACAACGCTGACTGTTTTCGCATATAGACGGGTCCAATATCGTGCACTTCCACGTACTTCGGTTTCACTTTGGCGCTTTGGTTTCTGTTAGTGAATGGCTAGAAGTTGGTTTGAAATGGATGGAAATGAAGTTTGCAGCTAACAGCGCGTCCAAGAGTTTACGCGTGGTGTCTGGCTCCCATCCAAAATCACTTTTGAAAGCTTACAAAGCTGTCACTTCAAGCAGCTTTCCATTGCCTAGAATTCACTCCGGCTTTAGCCCTTGTGCTTACACTAGGGAAAGGATGGAAATGGTGGAAAATTTGTGACTTGAGACGCACGACGCTGACTGTTTTCGCATTTAGACGGGTCCAATATCGTGCACTTCCACGTACTTCGGTTTCACTTTGGCGCTTTGGTTTCTGTTAGTGAATGGCTAGAAGTTGGTTTGAAATGGATGGAAATGAAGTTTGCAGCTAACAGCGCGTCCAAAAGTTTACGCGTGGTGTCTGGTTCCCATCCAAAATCACTTTTGAAAGCTTACAAAGTTGTCACTTCAAGCAGTTTTCCTTTGCCTAGAATGGAAATGGTGGAAAATTTGTGACTTGAGACGCACAACGCTGACTGTTTTCGCATATAGACGGGTCCAATATCGTGCACTTCCACGTACTTCGGTTTCACTTTGGCGCTTTGGTTTCTGTTAGTGAATGGCTAGAAGTTGGTTTGAAATGGATGGAAATGAAGTTTGCAGCTAACAGCGCGTCCAAAAGTTTACGCGTGGTGTCTGGCTCCCATCCAAAATCACTTTTGAAAGCTTACAAAGCTGTCACTTCAAGCAGCTTTCCTTTGCCTAGAATTCACTCCGGCTTTAGCCCTTGTGCTTACACTAGGGAAAGGATGGAAATGGTGGAACATTTGTGACTTGAGACGCACAACGCTGACTGTTTTCGCATATAGACGGGTCCAATATCGTGCACTTCCACGTACTTCGGTTTCACTTTGGCGCTTTGGTTTCTGTTAGTGAATGGCTAGAAGTTGGTTTGAAATGGATGGAAATGAAGTTTGCAGCTAACAGCGCATCCAAAAGTTTACGCGTGGTGTCTGGCTCCCATCCAAAATCACTTTTGAAAGCTTACAATTCTGTCACTTCAAGCAGCTTTCCATTGCCTAGAATGGAAATGGTGGAAAATTTGTGACTTGAGACGCACAACGCTGACTGTTTTCGCATATAGACGGGTCCAATATCGTGCACTTCCACGTACTTCGGTTTCACTTTGGCGCTTTGGTTTCTGTTAGTGAATGGCTAGAAGTTGGTTTGAAATGGATGGAAATGAAGTTTGCAGCTAACAGCGCGTCCAAAAGTTTACGCGTGGTGTCTGGCTCCCATCCAAAATCACTTTTGAAAGCTTACAAAGCTGTCACTTCAAGCAGCTTTCCTTTGCCTAGATGTCACTCCGGCTTTAGCCCTTGTGCTTACACTAGGGAAAGGATGGAAATGGTGGAAAATTTGTGACTTGAGACGCACGACGCTGACTGTTTTCGCATATAGACGGGTCCAATATCGTGCACTTCCACGTACTTCGGTTTCACTTTGGCGCTTTGGTTTCTGTTAGTGAATGGCTAGAAGTTGGTTTGAAATGGGTGGAAATGAAGTTTGCAACTAACAGCGCGTCCAAAAGTTTACGCGTGGTGTCTGGTTCCCATCCAAAATCAAGGTTTGGAGCTTGTAAAGTGGTCACTTCAGGCACCTTTCCAGGTACAAGGACTTCACTCGCGGCATTAAATTTTGCGTTTGCGCAGAGAGAAGACATGGACATATGTGGAAATACATTGCTTGAAACGCGTGACGGACCATAAATCAAAAACTAGTTCTGGGCCATGGTTCCCATCTAGACTTCCAATTTGGGTCATATAATTAGACGGGTCTATTCGTGCACTTCCACGTATTTTGGTTTCACTTTGGCGCTTTGGCTTTGGATCGGCTCGCGTCGGGTGGAACCCAAAGAGCTGGAAAGCTCGGCAGACAGTGCGCGCGCGCGTGTGTGTGTGTGTGTTCGTTCCGCTGTTTGTAAAATCAAGAGACTCTCACCCCTCAGATCGGGAAAACATGTGGGAACCCCAATTTGAATCATCAAATCATCACACATAACAGCGCAATATCCATCTCATATCAGATTTATTGAAAATCAAATGGCCCAAGGTTCTAAATTTAACATTATTTGGAGGAAAACTTGCAATGGCATAATTTGGCTGCAGCATGACTTGCGTCACTACGATCGGTTGCTGTATGCAACTCACTGTTTAGAGTTGCCAAACCCCCTTTCAAGAAATAATGTCATATTTGGACGGCCTGGCCTTTGGCTTTTGCCATGACATTTCCGGCCCAATCAAATTAACTTGAGCCCAGTCAGCGCCTATCGATCGCGTTTTGCCAAACCCCTTCACAAACCTTTTGCAATGCCTCATGGTCAAACCCCTTCACAAACCCACCCACGCTCAACCAGCAAACACCTCAACCAAGAAACGGCTCCGGCAAGGCAGGAAACGACTTCAAGCCAGCAAGTTGAAGATACCTTAGACACATGTCATGTGCTTGGTTTCCTCTTGTTGGCGCAGTTTCAGGTGGGATAACACCTATTCAAGCCCATTCTCTCCCATCTGCATGCAGGGCTGAGTCTTGCCTGCTCTGTTGCCAGCCTGAGCCATCCCTCAGTCGCTACCTGCCAGATTATCATGAATTACTCCATGATAGCCTTGCAGCCTGCAAGCTAAAGGGAGATGAGCTATCCACATAGGTGTTAGGACATAGCAACAATAGTTGCACTTCTTGCCTAAGCCCGGAAGTGACAGGGAGATGCATCCCCAGCCCCATGCTCTTTCCCCCCTCAGGCCCAGGTGCTTTGGGCACCAGAACTTTGGAAACAAAGTCATCTGGCCAGTCTTCTGTCCTCAGGTGCAAATATGAAAACATGCAACGAAATAATCTTCCAAAGTGTCTTTCCCAAAAGTTCGAATCAAAGACATTCTAGCATGATAGAGCTGCGATGCAAACATGCACAAAAATGTGGACAAGCATCGCTTTGCGACTGTCTCCAGGGCATCCGAGGCATCCAGCAAATTTGACAGGAGATTTGCCATTGCCACAGCAGCACCGATTGCGAAATCTAATGAAACATGTCAATGCCTTGGGTTAGTAAAATGTCTTCCCTAGAGCATACTGCAGCATCTCATGACAATGTGGTAAATTCTCATGACGATGTGGTAAATTCTCATGACAATGTGGTAAATCTTCAATGAACAGACTGACTTTTGATGCAAGAGGTTTTAACATGTGTTGCTGAATCAATTTGCATTTTGTGTTACACTGTAATAAGATCACAAACCGTCCTCATTGCAATGACATTGAGTTCAGATACACTGACTGTTTTCATTGAGGAGGTTCCTGGCTACTTGTCCAGTACTATGCACACGTGAAAATAAAGAGCCAAGGTACGTCTGCCATAGATGTTCATGCCAATCGCTGCCATCAAAACCATCGTAGGTGCTGATAAAAAACCTCCCTTGAAGGCTTGCCGCAGGCTGTAGTGGATTCTGGGCAAACAATGCCAAATTAATGTGTGTATATATATATATATTCATCCCATTGCTATTAGAAACGCCCATTTCAACATAGTTCTTAACATAACTGCTTCCCCATACGTCAAGACTTGACACAACAGCCTTTTAAAGAGGCTGATGTCTAAATTAAATCATAACTCATATCGAGGTATTGAAATAGTCCACTTCTTTCCCGAAGGCTCCTTTGTAGTTGTTGGGACATACGTTGAAGTTGATTGGGATCTGATGTTTGTACAAACGTCGAGTGTTGTTGAAATTCACGCATGGATACCGGTCGAAGATTTTCTTTGGCACATCTAAGCAGTCGGTTGAGGTGGGTGACCCAAACAATTGTTCTTGACTCCTGGCAGACTACTTGTGCTGGTCCGTTCCATCGACCCTTTTCCATGACATTGGGGGATTTTCGCCTATCCCAGTACATACACAGTTGACCACATGACCATTGATGGACTTCACCTCTGGACTGTCTCAGCATTGCACGCCTGATGGCACTGCTGTTATCAGCCTTTGCAAAAGCGGCACGGGCAGAGGCACGAACCTGCAAACGTTGTTGAAATCTTGCACTGTCCAAGTCTTCGCTTTGACATGCTAGATGGGAACTTGTGTCTTCGTCAGACACAATCGATGCAGGGAGCATCGAGGCACGCCCTAAAACAGCTTGCTCTGGACTGTATCCTGAGACAATGGACATGGTGTTTTTGGCATGAAAACACTGCGTCAATGCTTCATCAAACTGCTGTGACGTCTCGATGGGAAACTCTTGATCTATTCTACTCAGCATTTCTTCTATTATGCCTCCATGACGCTCGATGCGTCCACGTTGCCACGGGGCGGCTGATAACACTGCTTGGATGCCATGTTGGCGCAAGAGATCCTTCCATTCCACGGTCATGAATTCGCCACCTTGATCGTGTGCCATTTGTTTTGGATATCCTGCCCATTGGAACCACATTAATTTGAGAAGCTTTATGAAGGACTGACTATCTCGGGTTACCCTCAGACCTAAATGAAACCGGGTTGCTTCATCAAGTACATGTAACACATACCCCTTATACCCTTTTGAACTGGTCCACTCAAAACCATCTAGTGGTATACGTTCGTTGAACTCTTTTGGGTCTTTCAGGTTTCCTGGAGTAGTGAGAGCGGGTTTCACCCTCTCTGCGCATGAGGCACAGAGGTAGTCTTTGGCACCTCCAATCAAGGCAGGTCTCGCATTGGCTTCGGACAGGTGTCGAGCTAGTCTCTCGGCAGTTGGGTGACCTAAGTTGTTATGTAGACGCCGAATGGCTGTCTTGTCTTCTTCGGTTAACTCTTGAAACTTGGGTCCCGAAACACTAGCTGACATAGGTGTCCACGTCGGAACTGGCACATAGGGATTGGAAGACAAAGGTGACCCAGAACCAGGGTTGGCTTTGTCTAGGTCGGGAACTTCCATGCCTGGTGTGGCTGGTGCCTGCTGGGAAAGCTCTTGTGGCCCTTCCTCTTGTGTCCGATGCTTCGCTCTGGCAAATATACAAACCATAACATGACTCGGTCTGGCATGGCGATTGCGTTTGCCTTTAGTGAGTTTTGTCCAATCTTCTATACCTAAATCTTCTACTTTCTTGGTGAAGCGAGCAAGGACTACGGTCTTTCTCAGCGGAAACTCATCTTCCCAGCCAGTCTCGGCACATATGTACCTGTCAAGACCCTTACCAGCTTTGATGGCACCGATTTGTTGCTCTGGCATCTGGGCTTGAACCGCTCGGAATACAGCATGCAGGGGGTTCGTCCAGGTTTTGATTCCGGACTTGGGCAGATCACTTCGAACCTGCTCAAGTACTTGTTTCCATGGATTGCTGTCTCCACCATCCATGTCGGCATCAGGCAGTTCAGGTGCGGAGGTCCTAGCTTTCTTGGCCCTAGGTTCCACTGGTTCATATCAACATGATAAACTGGACTTTCTATGGGTCCCGTGTTGTCCCGTAGTATGCATTTTACAATAGCCTTTGCAAACATGGTTGGATAGTGTCCTGCAAATTGAGAAACTCGGATCGTTTTACCTCTCCAGTGACATGTACCTGCTATTTGTTCATGTTTGTGATCATGATTGCATAATCGATGATCTAGTCCTTCAAAGACTGTCCTGGATGTCGTTTGGATTCTTGTTCTTTTCTGCATGGCTTCGGTTGTTTCCGGGTGGCGCAATCCAAACATGCACTGATCGAGCTGAGCAGTCAACGATCCCTGCAAGAGTTCACGGATTTCTTTCTGATTCCACATATCGGATGTCCAAGGGTTCTCCAAGTGAGTGTGTCCTCCATGGGATTGCTGTATTTTGAAAAGCAGGTTACACAACTTGAGATGGACTCTGGCCTCATCCTGGACATGATTGACACGTTGGAATCCGGATGCACTGCGAGCTGCATTGAATCGATTCCAGGCACACCACGGAGCACATTCTGGGGCCAACCACAAGTGCTTGGGCCTACTCAACATTACAGTCATCAATAGGTTACTACGACCCTCAGCAGTTGAGAGATCACCATCTTCTTTGGTGAATCTCCGGGCTTTCAGACCACATGCTTGTGCCACCTGAGTTATTTTGCTATCTTCATAGGCATAGACTTCAAGGACATCAAGTTGTTGACAATGGTTATTACCCTTACGTATCATCTTATGGACTTCCTTTAACCATTGAGCTTCTTCTGCAGTGGTCACATAGGCTTCATGATTGGTTTTGAGGTGCACCTTTTCAGGAATCGGTTGCCATGCATGATCTACGGCGGGGCATTCATTGCTGCTGCCTCGAGCCGTTGACGTGTCACCGCATAGTTGGCGAAGTCCTCGATTTCCTCTCCCAAACTTCCGATACGAGCCAGAACCCACTTGACGTAGCTGGCGTCCTCTTCGTACACTTGGAAATCGGTTTTGCCCGGATGTTTCTTTCCCCATGAGATCTTCTTTTGGCCCCAGTTGACCAGAGCTTGCTGAGTGAGAGCCACCTGACTGTTGGCATTCACTCCTGGCATGCTTGCTGCTGCGGAACTCTGGGATGGGCGACCAGGCAAAGGTATGCCAGCGATCTTTGTTGGAGTCTTGGGAGCTGCTGGACTCGGCATTGGCATCGTCGTTGGAATCATCATCGGCACTTGTGAAGTACCTGGGGCCGCTGACACTGTCTTGATGCCCATGGCTGCTTGTTGCAGCTCCTCTTCTTCCATGATCTCCCAAACTTCTGAACCGACGATTGGGTCTGGTGACGGTGGTCCACTGGATCGACTGTGAGGATCCATCATCTTGTTTGTGATGATCTGGCCCAGCTCGCTGATCTTCTGACGTTGAACTCGAACCTCGTGAACCAGTTGGTGAATCGGATTCACTTCGTGGTCTGGGACATTCTCCTCTGGGTTGATGGCTTTGGTCAACGTGAAGATCATGAAGAACAGGATTCGAAGACTCTCCATCACCTCCTCCGACAACGTTCGGAGGCCCTCGAAGACTTCCTGTCTGGACGGCATGGTCACTTGACTCAGGTGGATCAAGTCCTGGGGGTGCTCGAATCGGTGTGCTTGATGCGACAAAAGCGGCTGCTTCATTGGATTCAGATTCCTCACACAAATCTGACATGTCGATCATGAACAAACCGTTCTGATTTTCCACTAATGGCAGAGACCTGTTCAGCTTTTGCAAGTAGCATGTGTTCTTACTTAGGTCAATATTGGCACCCAGGCTTTTCATGGTCTTGATCGAGATCAAAAACGGTGTGGCTTTCGGGACAACTTCAACAAGCAACCAGATTCTTTGACGTCCATGCTTGAGGGGAATTTGCAACTGCTTGAAGCTGTATGCGGTTTGATTGTTTCCGAACCTAAAACCAACATGACTTGGGACTTCGCGGATCTGAGAACGGACGGCCGGTGGCAACTTTTGCAGGACATCGGGCACATGCTCTGATCCTATGACACTTCTACTGGCACCTGTATCGAGTATGGCAAGACCTGCTGTGCAAGTCACTCGATGAACCGTTTGGCTGGCCAGGCATTCGGCTTCACTGGTGGGCATCAACAGCTGTCCCTGGAGCTTCATCGGACTCCTGAGGGCTTGTGGTGGCACCCTCTTGGCTGACAGACTATGTTTATATCCCAGCTTACCCCTCTTATCTTGCTTACCCCTCAGATTATGGTATTTCCCCATCCTAGACTTAAGGAAATTGACGGCTTTTCGACGGACATCGGCAGACAAGACACTGGGACTCGGATGCAGAGAACTCTG